TATGAGTGATTGTTTTTAAATCATAAGTGACGATGCAAAATTTTATAGGACTATCTATTCAATCAGTTATAATTTTAGAAAAATTTCTTGCTAATAAAATTCCAGAAATTATATGATTTTGGGACCATCTCTTGTTTCTGAACATTCATTTACAATTAATTTTTGATAAACTTACAAGTTCTTAAAATTCACAAGTAACTATTGTTGGCAATAACAAGTAAAATTATAGTCTAAGTAGTGCCTAAGAACACTGTCTTTAAGAGTTATTTCGCCACACTGAATTGATCAGTGATAGCTGTCCAAAATTAAATAAATTCTTCCTACAAAAAGTAGGAACACAGAATAACAAAAATTTCCAAAATAAACTTAGGTTATACCAATACTAATGAAGCAATGTGATAGAGAAGGAAAAGCCCATCTCATAGGCTCATGCAAAACATGTGATAAGCATTACCTTTTATAGGTGGATATCTCAAAAGTTGGGCGATAAAACACATTAAACACAATTAACAAATAGTTTTATATAATAATGGGGGTTTAATATATAGGTTACAACATAAACTAATTTAAATAGTAACTAATATTATTAATTTATAATAATTCCTTTTAAAATACTCAAATATTTTGCAATATCCAACAACTATCATTAAATTCATAAACAACCAGTTGTAAATTCATGAAATTATCTATTTATTTATCACCAACTTTAAATTCATTCAAAAGTAATATTTCTTAAATTCACAACTATTTTTTTCTTAAATTCATTAGATATAGTTTACTATCTTAATTTTTTTATAAACAATCAAAAATACCTTTCATTAATGTGAGAGAGAGAGAGAGAGAGAGAGAGATTTATTAGGGAAGTAAAATAATGAGAAATAATATTGTATTCCTTCCATTAAAAAATATAAGATATTTTTTTAGGGATCAAATGTTAAAAAACGTAAAGCATTTTTAGTATTTTAAAGTGTAATCATTATCTTTTTTTTTTCAAAAGTACCCCTATTGAATATATCACTTTATATTTTTTAAGGTGAAATACTCTATTAAATAACGGTAAATATAAAAAGATATGATTAGTTTAAAAGATAAGTAATTACTTTATTAGAGGTCAGATTCAGTTAAAAATGTCTTGTATTTTTTAATAGAGGGAGTAATAATTATCATTAATGACATTTTATTTTTATCAAAATGTCTTATATTTTATAATACTAAATCACCTCTAAAAGTGGGCATAGCGTCTATTGAAGAGAAAATGGTAGAAAATTATTTAAGATTGTTTCAACATGTATAAAGAAGACCGCATGAGGTATCAATGAGGAAAGTGTAACTGATAATTTTGAGCCATGTAAAGAGGGGCTAAAGAGAATACTTATGAAAGTTATTGACTAAAACCTCTTATTTAACAACATTCGTAAAAGCTTATTAAACGATAGAGCACAATGATGTTATATAATCTATTGATGACTTCCAATTTTCTACTATATTTATTAGTGTTTATAATGCAATTAGAAGTCATTTCTCTGAATTTATTAGTAAAAATATGATTAAGTAGATGATTATATGTGAAAATGGATATAAGAATCTGAGTAAAAGTTAGCAGACCAATTTTAACATTAATTTTAGATTTTATGTCTGTAAGAAGGCTCAATTTTTGGACCTATAGGTGAAAATTTTGAAGCCCTTGCTCCAAAAGGTAAATCTAAAAAGAAATTCTACATAAGTCATGTTCGCTGTAGCAAAACCACATTTCACTGCAGCAAAACGTGAATTTCAATAAAATGCACAACTTTAATCTTCAACAAATTTTAAGCATTTAGGGACCTCATTTGGACTAATCTTCATTAATTCAACAATTGCAAAATGTACAAGTTGAGGAAAAAGAACTAAAAATGGGATGGAGAAACTTGAGTTTAGTAAGAAATCAATGATTTAGTTCAAGATTGTTTCGATTAAGCATTTCTTCTCCTTCTTGACTTTATTTTGATGTATAAATTGCTAATATTTGTTGTCATTAGAGCCATGGGTGGCTGATTTTCTCTTAATCTAGTATAGCTATGAACTAATTCTTGAATTAAAGCATGTTTGGACCATTTATTTGAGCTTAATATTAATTTTAATTACTTAATCTATGCTTACTTGTTTACTTAATACTTGGCCATCATTGAGTATGAATTTAGGGGTTTGGATTTTGTAACATCATGAAAATTAACCCCTGATAATCAAACTAAGTAAGGGTAGTTAATTAAAATTAGTGTGGTATGCATCAGAAAGGGTTAATGAATTATTTGGGTTGTGTTTTCAACCCTAAGTTTGAGGCAGGGGCAAGGTCGAGTCACCTAAACCTCAAGAAGGGAGAAAAAAATAAGAGAAAGTGTCTCTGTACCATATACTATAGTGTATGTGTCGTGTGTCGCGGCATACAAGTTACAAAAACATAAAGAGGAGCTCTCTGTGTCACATTCCATGGTGACCAAATTTCTATAGAAATAAGACGCGAATCAGGCTGGAAAAATAAAAAGAAAGAAGAGAGGGAACACGCCCAAGAACATAAGCACTCTATGAAAGTGTTTTCAAGCCACCAAACTCTTATGATAAGTCTCCTAGCTCTTCTTCTTCCTTCCCATCCTATTTTCCTTGAGTTTTGAGGTTAGGGTTCATTGTTAGAGGTGATTTTCGGCCTATAAGGGTTCAAACCTGTTGACTTAAATAAAATTAATAGAAATTTTTTGACTTGTTTAAACCAATAATTGAAGGTTTTACACATTTTAATAGTTGAGGATGCATTTATGGCCGAATTTTGGTATTTAACAGGGTGGTTGGGAAGGTTTGAATGCTATTAATGGTGAGCTAGGAGTTTAATGAGAATAGTTGGGGTTGATGGAAGTAAATAAACCCAATAAGTAAGCTTGAATGCTAGAAATGAGAATTTTGGGGTATTTATAAAATTGAAATTGGAAGTTTGAATTGTGTATAAATGGTGGCAATGATAAGTTTGGACATGATTAATTGTAGATTAATTATCCGTGCATTGACTTGAGCTTGAGAACAAGCTTGGAAGCAAATATCTGAGGGGTAAACCCTTGACTGTTAAAAGGTTTGAGATAAGTGAGGAAAAAATTCTTTTATATATAGTTGTTTGCTAATTGATTTACATTTTAAAAATGAATTAATAGACATGAATGAATGGATTGTATAATTATGAAAATGTGCAATGACATGTGAATCTTGATTTAGCACAATTGGTGGCTAATGTAATGATTGTCATGAAGATATTTGTAAATACCACGATTGTAAATTGAAATGAGTTGATTATTTTATGAAATGTTTGCATTGTTGTATTAGTCTTGAATATAAAACATGAGAAGTGGAGTATATGCAAATGTGTTATGAGGTTGAGAATTGAAGTGGAATGTGTAAATGCAAATACTAATGATGCTCACATGTATTAGTTTATTATCGTAAATTTAATGAGTTTGCATTGAATATGTGAATATGTGAAATGAGTAGGCATAATACATATCATGATCTTTTTGGCATAATACATATCATGATCTTTTTGGTAAGAGTTTACCTAAGGAGAGGAGCAGATAAAATTCACTTAGCAATGGCTATCAATCGTTGGAATCGAGGGATAAGTCTTGTCCTGTTGTATATTGAGAGAATGTCTTATTGTTTGTCGAGAAACTCGAACCCAACTAACTCCATTAGTTTGTCAAGGAGATTAGCCTAGGATTTATGACACCCTTAAAAATGGGGAAACCGTGGTCCAAAAGTGAGTATGGTAATCTTTAGTCGAGTCACTCTTCATGATTGGTGAACTTGGGTAATCCATTACACAAATGAAGTCCTAATTTGAATTATAGCCCACAGCTAGTCGGAATGTACAAGGAAGATATAAAAATGGTTAGATCATGCATTTTTATTTAACGTGTCACTTGATTGTTAAAAGTGTGGCAAATTGTGATATTTGCTTTTGCCACGTAGTTGCTATGGTGGCAATATGCATTATGAGTTGATTTGGAAAAAAATAATAATATTGAGTTTGCCTTGTACTTTAAGGAATGTGGTATTTATGATTATTCCACCTGTTTTCTTGGTCAATTGATAGGCAATTACATATGATAGCTGGTTACTGAATGATTATACTTACTCCTCTCTTTTAATATTTTACAGACTCTAACTCGGGTGTGGATAGAGAAAAAGCTCCGGAGGCTAAATAATTATATTATTCTTATTGTAAAGCCTCTTAAAACTTAATTTATTTTATGTAATTATAAGATATTGCCAATTAGGAATGCATTTTGAATATACTTGTACTATAGGGATGTTCATTATGAATTGTTATATTTTAGGCCCTAAAATGTGTCTATATAAATTTGATTATTGCCTGAATACTAGTGCAAGTATAGGAATGATTAAGCCTGAATGTTGATGAAATGCACATGTTAGACCTCCCCTATTGTTTTTTATATTGAGGAGTTGAGGGTTAAAAAGGAGATTTGGTTGTTATTATATGTATATGGTGTGTTGCACAAGTTGTCATAAATCTATTGAGTATAATTTAGGTGTTAAATGTAGTTTTGCACATGTATTTGGGTATTTAGATACCCTTGTGTTATGAAAAGTATGAAAAATGAAGAGAATATGTTTGGATGTTCATCCCCTTGTGTGAAGTCTTTTGAGAATAAAAACTATGCCATTAGGTAGGATTTGAAAAAAAAAAAATTCTAAACATTTAGATCACTTCAATTGAATGTCAGACTAAGAATTGGAATAAGCCTGAAGTTGCTCGAGTGTTGTCAAACTGACATCAATTTATTGTATATCATCTTATACATTTGTGATGAAACATTTTTGTATGTATCTTCTATATAACCAACTCCACATAATAAAATAATGTTTATTGTTGTTGTTGTTGTAAATCACCTTCAAGAATATCTTATAAACCTTGATGGAGGAGTATAATAAAACAATACATAAATTTGTTGTCAATCTGATTTAAAAACAGCAACGAGTCACATACATTAATAGAACCAACCAGAGACATTCAGTAGGGTCATGAATTCCCTCAAGAAACAAATAAGCACAAACAACACTGCTACTTTCCAATCCACAGAGAAAAAAAGCAAGAAATTATTTCATCTCTGTTTTTCCCCCCAACAAAATGAGGGCATTCAAGAAGGGAAAAAAAGATATGAAAGATGAAAACTAAAGGTGTAATTTGGGAACCTTCATAACAATGGCTCTCAGATGATCCAGGTAGAGTGGAAACTGTGCGATTGCATAATAGGAAGCAGGAAGGCAAGTGGCAGCATAAAGAGGGAAAACTCCTTTCTTGAAATCTTCATCAATTAGGAAGAAATGTGCGGCACAGAAAGCGATGAGCATTGAGGAAATTGACACAAACAGCGAGCTCAAGCCCAGCAGAAGCTTCATCGGCAAACTTCTCTTGAAGTCTCTGGGTTGTTTTCGAGAAGTGAGTATGGTGAGGAACATGATCAGCGCAGTGACAGAGAAGCAGAGCCCAATAAGTGAAGTGATTGCGAAAAGTTCAAACGTAGGCTTTCCTTCTAATTTCGGTTTGCCCGTCTTTTCGTCATTCCCACCGGGGACTTGGCTCGACGTTGCGAAGGAAACTCCAGCGACCAGCGCAGCCACCACCGAGCAAGATTCAGACGTATCCTTAAGCCATTGGCCACTGTCCCTGACAAGGTCGTCATGATCTGAAGTGAAGATTTCTTCCGGAGTCTGGCCATTTTTGTTGTCAAGGAAAACAAAGTGGGGTGGCGTCAACGATTTCACATACTGCAATTCACATTCCAGTCAAAGATCACACAGTTAGATATTAATGATGATGATTATACTATGCTTCATCTTAGGAACAATAGCGACAAAGCCCAGAAACCCGAATAAATCTAATTTCCGAGCTTCAAACAAATTCCAGGATTTGCCCCCAATGCTCAAAATCACAGCCCTTCATTCTAGTATAGTGATAAAAAAAAAATTCAACTAATTTTTTTAAAGGAAGGGTTGAGATTTTAGACATTAGAGGACATAAGACACCCCAAATCACAGATTCCCGCATTTATACTTAAACATCCAAACCATTCGTAAATACTCCATCTGTCCCAATTGATAAAATGATTGGCTTATATGAGAAGACCCAAATAACCTATTATGAGGGGCGGGTCAGGTTTTAAAAAAATATTGATCCATAAAAAAAATAAAAATTTCTAGCTCACACGAATTTATGGATTTTGAGTCTCTATTGCTCCCTCTAATGCTCAAAATCCCAACTATTCATTTTAGTGGAAGGTCAAATTTCTAGATTTTAAACATTAGGGATAGTGAATAAGGCAGCAAACACTCCAAATCCCTATATCTGCTGACTTGGCTAGTGATTGGTTAGCCGTATCTTGTTAAAGGGGGCGTGCCCTATGAGTTGGGATTTTAATCCCTCTCCACCTTTACTTGCTTTGTTATTAGCTGATTTTGAACACTGTTCTTCAATTGTAATTACTTGATTTTTGAGTAATGAAGTTCTGTTTCACCAAAAAAAGGACTTCTTCAAGAACAATATTTAATTAATTACCTCGAACCACTTTATTTCCCACTGCATCAGCATGGCAGATCCATGACTATTCCAAGGATGAGACATGGATTTATCATACTTGGCTGCTAAGTGCAATATAGTATTTTCAGAAGAATCCAGTGATTGAACGAGGTCGTGCCAGAGATTAGTCTTATTTGCTTCTTGGGTCAGGTATTTGCACAGCGCCTCAACAACTTCAGGTTGCTTGTTCTCAACCACTAGCAATATGTTTTTGTTGGTTGATGAGGTATCGTGGATGGATACTGGTAATTTGCTCAGAATTTTCTGCACTACTTCAAGCACACCCTTCTTAGCTGCCACCTGCAAGGCTGTGTCGGTTGTTCCTTCTTCCTGATCAGGTTGCTTGTTCTTAATTGCTACCAGCAATATGTTTTTGTTCACTGATGAAGTATCGTTGAAGGACACTGCTAATTTGCTCACAGTTTTCTCTGCTGCTTCAATCACACCCTTGGCTGCCGCCAGCAAGGCTGGATCACTTGTTCCTTTCTCTGGTGTGTGTGTAGTATCAGTTTATCATCATTTTCAGTCTAATACATCGTATGTATATTCCACAGGTTCTAATTTAGAGGAACAGCCACTGATGGCTCTGCAACCTCTCATTTATAAGAAAGTGACATGTCACTTGTTATGCATGGGTCCAGCTATGGTGCTTATCATTTTTGGTAAGATCTGCACTGTCTAAATTTAATGAGATAATCCAAATTTAAAGTTTTTTCTTTTATTTCATATTTATCAAAATAAAAATTTATAAAAAAATATAAAAATATTTGATAAATATATTTGATCATAATTTGTCAGCAATTTGAAAAGTTGACATTTAATTTGGATAATCAAAATGTATTATTAAATTTTTTTTATAATTTTTATAAATTAACTATTTAGATTTACTTTGAAATATTCAAATTTAAAATTTTGAACTTGTAATTTAAAAAAAATGTATTTTTGAAAATTGTGGAGACTATCTTTATTTTTAGGATTGTATTTATCAAAATAAAAACTTATAAAAACTATTAAAAATTTAATATTAAATTTAGACTGTCCAAAATATATTTATAAAAAAATTTAATATTAAATTTGACTGTTCAAATTAAATATGTACTGTTCATATTAATAATAAAAAATTTATTAAAAAGTATGTTTTTATAAATTTTATTTTGATAAATAATATAAAATAAAAACCAAACTTTTAACTTAAACTATTTAAATTTTATCTAGACAATCCAAATTTTATTAGAGATAGGTGGATGAGCACTTATATCTGGACCCTAAGATGGACGGGTTTTAAATTGAACAAAGTGAGAATTAAGTGGAATTAATTACCATTCTGATCTTGAGTTTTCTTATCAGGTCCCTCTTGATGAATATCACCGCGATCAAATGGAAATCTTGGGAAATCCAAGTCTCCTTCAGGGGCATCTCCTCCACTACCGACGTATGCCTTACCAGGCTTTTCCATGAGTTCATTCAATATCTGAACGCTCCATGTATGTTTTCGTTTCGCATCCTTTAAGTCATAATATGTCTTTGCTAATGACAATCAGATTCGCGTGAAAACAATAGTATCAATTAATGTGGTAACTTAAGTATTGGAGGAATTACTGTAGTATATATAACAGATCAAGGAGTTAAACTAGAACGTACGTGATCACATACCAAATCCTAGAATGCCAGATAAAAATACGTAGACAAAAGCCAGAAACTCGTAACAGGTAGCATAGTTTTGGGGAACAATTTCCTTTGTATGCAAGTCCCTTGGGTTCTCTGCATCCCCTCCGTTTTTCTTGTTTCCTGCTCTCCAATAGATAAATCCATGATTAAATGTCAATCAAATTCACTGTCTTTTTTCTTTTGAATCCACTTATGTATAAATCATGAATTGATGTAGAAGATATTATAACAAGTCAATAAGATTAACTATGTAAAAGATATTATTAACAAGTTTGCTAATAAATTAATAAGTATCCATGCGCGCATATGTGAAATGACAAGTGATTTTAACAAACTCACTTTATATTTTATAAAATAAAGGACATTTTTGTTATCTTTTATCAAAATATATTTTCAATTCAATCCCTCATTATTATAGAGTATTTTCAGATTCTGAGTCCTAATTTAAAATTAAACTCTTATTGGATTCTTCACTGAAATTCTCTCAAAGAAAAAGCAAAGTTATTGAAGATGAGTATGAAATATATGAATTAGATGGCTTTTACTACCTTCACTGCCTGAGGATTTGTCCTTCGTCCGCATAGAGATCCAAAAATTATTGAGAGCTGTCATTTATATGTCAAGACACACACACACACACACACATAAGGAGGTGACTAATATTTTGCAGCACATAAAAATATAAGTGAGATTGACAATTGAAGACAATGTAATTAGAAGTTACTTTTTCCAAAAAAAAATCATATTACTATTTATTATTTTGCAAAATATAAAAAGAGATAGAGGGAATTTTTAAAAAATATCCACCCTTTAATTTTCTTCCATGGACGTCACGTGAGATTCAAGATCGAATTGGAATTACCAGAGTACGGCTCCGAAAAGAACTGATAACATGTCAAGTAGTTCTCTGGTAGCCACTTAGCTTCCGAGCTCTCAGGAGATTTTTGAGAACTAGGAGGAGGATCAGCTTCATACTTGGGAGGGTTAATATATATACCTTGCGCCCAAAAATGAACATAATTAATTCACAAAATGTGTTGATCAATACCTCACCGTATGGGTTTAATAATCAACATATATACACACACTTGACACATCCACTGATCTATATTATATTATAGTGTCTTTTAGCAGAATTTGTTATTTCTTAATATAAGTCATTTTGCAAGAATTTATATAACGTTATTTGTTTTATTCCAAATATGCTCTTTTTCTTAATTTCTAATGAAGAGATGGAAATGTTTTTCTTTTTTTAGTTTATGGTATTTATTAGGGGCGGAAATGAAAAATCAAAGGAACTTTTAGATAATTTCAATAATATAATTAATTTGTTTATTTTTTTGAGTTAGTTATAAGTATCTTGTAAAAAAAATCAGACAGAATATATACTTACAGTAGTATATGATTTGCTTCCACCAAGGGAGGCTGCAGCTACTTCTAAAGGCAGAAGGTTTGGAGGCCAGAACATGAAGTGGAGTCATTCCATTGACATTGAATTTTTCCATAAGATCTGGGCACCTTTGGATTATGTGGAGCGCCAAATCTGCGTGTGTGCGCGAATGATATATATACAAGTACGACACAAATAATCAATTAATACAAGGCTTATTTGATTTCTGTTTTTTTTTTCAAAAAATATTTTTATTTAAAAAAATTTATCTGGGTCAGTATTTTAGATTTAAGTATTTTCAAAATTATTTTTTTATTTTTTACATTTGATTACGGTATATTACTTTTGTATGAAAGTTTGGAGTATCGACTAGGGTATATGAGCTGGCTCCTGCAATTATTATAACGGTCAAGTTGAGTTTAAAAAATTGATTAAAATAAAAGTGAATATTTTTTAATCCAAACTAATTAAATAACTCGTGAACCATGCAAACAGGCTAACTCTATTAGGTTTGGCTTGACCCATTTAACCCAAATAATTTTATTAAAAATTAAAAATAAAAAATAAAAAATATAGGAAGTTTTGGTACGATAACCCCGCAAGACAAGCAGATTTGAAATGAATGATAATAAAATAAATCATCTAATACATTTACAATGTGAATTTTTTTCAGTTGTATGAAATATTATATTGAAACCAATCATTTAGATTTAGATGTAGTATTTTAGAAAAAATCATACAAGAAATAGGCTGGTAGATTGAACCAATTCAACCTACATTTTCTCCAACCAATGTGCATGATCCAACCTATATAATTCCGGTTGGCTCATATTCCAAGCCATGCCACTGTTTTTTAGATTTAAAATTATTTTGAAATTAATATAATCAAACGTTTCATTTTTTTTTTGTTTCAATTTAAAAAATTACTCTAGAAGAAAACCAAAGAAGGCATGACGAGTGAAAACGACGAGGCTTACCAAAATGCTCTCTCCTGATGGCAGAGTGAAGGACGGTATCTCCCGTACCTCCGGTTCTTCTAAGCAACTGATTGGGTTTTTCCGAATGTGGTTCGCATCTATGAGTAACAGCTTCGTAGAGGAAGATGAAGGCAGGTTTCCGATTGTGAATAGCAGCCGTGAAGATGGGTGTCTCGCCCAATTTGTTGGTAATAGAAAGCAAATCTAGACCCATCTCATCTACTGCTTCTACGATGCATTTGCACATTCTCGCCGATCCTCTCGCAGCGGCGCGATGCAGAGGGGTTTCTCCGCTATTATTCTGACTCTTGAGAGCTTCATAGTTGCGACTCTGCACGATTAATCGTACCAGCTCCTCCACAACATATTCTCTGTCATCGTTGATGGCCATGTGCAGTGCCGTGTCGTTCGAGCTCGTGATCGAGCTGCTCTGAACCCCTCGTTCTGTTTCGTATAACGAAACCACCTCGTCCCAGTCACCACTGAACGTGTACTTGTATAATTCATCTTCCACTCTCGTCCCCTCTGGCTTTGGACTCTCACGTCCTTCATGAATAGTGGCCATGAATTATATTCTCAACACCACCACCACCTTCTCGTTTTGCATTTATGCATGGTGATATCATGCATGTCAATTTATACTTGCTGGAATGGGAGTCACCTTCCAAAAAAAAAAAGATCAATGAAAAAGAAATCTTATGCTACTTTAGAATCTATGAATACTTCCGTAGTTCTATTTTATCATATAGTGTGTTTGGAGAATTTTCGAGGCAACATTTGTAAGAAGTATAAAATGGTAGCTCTTACATCTGACGATGGAAAAACAAACCCAACATTGTGAGAATTTTCAAATCGATTCAAGGCCACTCAAACCACTTTAACAATATTCACTCTATCTAATCTCTATTATAAACAACCTCTAACTATCTCACCGGCCATGATAAAAATAAAGTGGTTAAGTCATTAATTGATTAACTCTGTCTAAAAAAAATTTCAATTTTATCTCTGTTTAAGTGAAATATATTTTTAAATTTGCATTACATTTTCTATCATAATTAATGAATTTAAATTTAAATATTAATAATATTACAAAAATGTAATTAATACTCCACCAAGTGTTTTATATTACTAAAAAAATCTTTCTGAACAGCACTATATATTAGGTACAGGAGGAAGTATAACAATATTAAACCCGAGCAAAGGCCAAGGATAAAATAAAGTACATCAGAAAAACTTTAAATCCAAACACACGTATATAGAAGTGAACGTATGTGCGTGTAACCTGCATGTATGTTATTTATAATAGACACCTTTCGTGTTGATGAAGCAAGAATCATTAAAAGCTGGAAGAATTTTACCTCTCAAAACTGGCGCAAGAGAGATATAATCCGGACAGGATGGGACCACGCGAACAGCCCAGGAAAGTTTTTGGTCGAGTGATTATATCGTTTCTAATTTTTTCCATCTCTTCTTTATAAATTATCTATAGTTTAAAGCACTTGACAATCTTGACTTCACATTAATTTAACAATCTTGAATGTTATAAAAATTGGATGGAGGCTTAGAACTTTTGCAAGCTTTTGCCTATCCACCATAATTTGCCCCTGATAACAAAAGCAACAGTCATATATGCCCATGTGTTCCGCGACAGAATTATTTTTGGGGAGACTCTTGGGTCTTGGTAAAAAATAGTATGTGTTAACATAAGAAAAAAATTGATTTAATTAGCAAGAATTTGGCTTATAATTTACAAGATCACAGAAAATCTCGTTGCTAATGTGAGAACTGGTAGACAATATGTATAATAATAATGCTCACCGATGAAGATATAATTAACCAGAGTTGAGGATGTTTGTGAAGCATCATAATGTAGCATGCATGTGCATGGTAGAGAAAGGATAAACATTACACAAGTTGCGAACTTTTTAGAATTTGGATTGAGCAATGGAATCCAAATTAAAACAGTTCATATTTACTGTGAGTATCTCAGTGATATGGATAATCTCACTCATATGTAATTATTTTTGTAAATGCTATTTGATCTCAGTAAGACTTTTCCATTCCATAATAAGCCCTAAACTCAACTCTCATATATAAACTTTTGTTCATTAAAAATAACAAAATAAGATATGAAGATGCATAGTTGAGGAATCATCCCTGTGTGATACTCATGTTCAAAAAAAGATTGAAGCTCACAAAAGCCAGAGAGTAAGTATCTTTTGTTTTTATTTAATTTGTTGGAACTTACACATGTGCATGTCCCCAAGTTGCATTTAATGGGAGAACCTTACAAAATAAAAGTGAAAGTACAAAGTGAAAGAGGAAAAAGAAAAAAAGAATATTATAGCTTTTGGTACCACTCCTCGCACAGATCTCAAGGACACGAAACATCATTGTAATTGCAACAGTAACTAGAACTAAGAATATGAGTTGTATCATATGAATTAATTCAAATAATAACATGTTATAAAAGTTAGGTCAAGAAAAATTGGTCCAAAATAAAAATAGATCTTTTTTTGGCTTGAACCAAATAACCCATGAATCAAATGGATTAATTAATCTTAACAAATATTATAATTAGTCTGTTTAATCTATATTATTTTTTAAAAAAATTAAAAATTGTAGCATAAGAAATATAGAGTTTTTGCAGTACAGCCTGCAAGCTTACAAGACAAGTGAGCCTGAATAGAATTGCAATGAAATGGATCAATCTCACATGGTTGTGATGTGGGTTTCAACTCTATAGAATATCATATTGAAACTTTATCATTTAAGTACAATTTTTCTAATTTGTGAAAAAAATTTAAACAGGTTGGTGCATTAACTCATCTGAACCACCACCCCATGAGGATTGGTTAATTTGAAAATTTTTAAACCCATATAAAAATGGATTAAAGTTTAAACACAACCCAGCTTATATTTTTTTTCCCCGATTCATATAGATCCAACTCATATGACATGGGTTTTCCAGCTGTTCGCACCTTAATAATGTTGGATAAGCCTGCCACTTAAGAGGAGAATGAACTGATTATTCAAAAAATTTTCACGAAGATTTTTTCCAACCCAAATGAAAAGCTTTAAAAATGGTGCCTTATAATAGAAACTAGATGGATTGAATATTGTTAAAGTTGTGTGAGTGATGAGTTGATGTAAAAAGAAAAAGAAGTGTTTAAGTTATTAACTTTGTTTAAAAATTTAAGAAACTTTTAATTTTATCCCTATTTAAATAAAATATATTTTCTAATTTGTATTACATTTTCTGTCACAGTTAAGAAATTTAAATATGGATAATATCGCAAAAATGTAATTAATACTCTATCAATTGTTTTATATTACTAAAAAAATCTTTCTAAACAGCACCATATGTCTGGTACAGGAGGAAGCTAAGTATAACAACATTAAAACTGGGCGAAGGCCAAGGGATAAAATAATGTACATCAGAAAAGCTTTAAATCCAAACACACGCATACAGGAGTGTATGTCTCTGTGTGTGTGTGTGTAACCTGCATGCATGTTATTTATAATAGACACCTTTTCGTGTTGATGAGGCAAGAATCATTAAAAACTGGAAGGATTTTACCTCTCAAAACTGGCGCAAGAGATAATCCGGACAGGATGGGATCACGCGAACAGCCCAGGAAAGTTTTTGGTTGGGTGATTATGATCTTTTTAATTTTTCCCATCTCTTCTTTATAAATTATCTGTAGTTTAAAGCACTTGACGATATGGACTCCACATTAGTTTAACAATCTTGAAAGTTACAAAAATTGGATGGAGGCTTAGAACTTTTGCGAGCTTTTGCCTATCCACCAGAATTTGCACCTGATGCCAAAAGCAATAGAATTGTTTTTGGGGGAGACTCTTAGTCTTGATAAAAAAATAATGTGTTAAAAAAACAAAGTTTGATTTAGTTAATAAAAATTTGGCTTATAATTTATAAGATCATGAAAAATCTCGCTGTTAATGTGAAGATTTTATTAGTAGATAATATGTATAACAACATAATAATGCTCATTGATAAAGATATAACCAGAGTTGAGTATGTGTGTGAAGCATCATCTACATGCATTGATGTACATGGTGGAGAAATGATAAACGTCACACAAGTTTTGAACGTTTTAAAAAGTGGATTGAGCAATGGAATCCAAATTAAAACAGTTCATACTTACTGTGAGTATCTCTGTGATATGGATAATCTCACTAATATGTAATTATTTTTGTAAGTGCTGTTTAATTTGATCAGTAGAACTTTTCCACATTACCATGATAAGTGTCAAAGCTCAACTACCATATATAAACTTTAATTCAGATATGAATATATATATATATATATATATAGTTGAGGAATCATCATTGTGTGATACTCATGTTTTAAAAAAGATTGAAGCTCACAGAAGCCAACGAGTAAGTATCTTTTGTTTTTATTTAATTTGTCGGGACTTGCACATATGCATGTCCACAAGTTGCATCTAATGGGAGAACCTTACAAAATAAAAGCGAAAGTACAAAGTGAAAGGGTAAAAAAAAAAATTAGAATATTATAGCTTTTGGTACAACTCCCTGCATAGATCTCAGGGACGTGAAACACCATTGCAATTGTGACACTAGAATTAGAGTCGAAATATAAGTTGGGTTAAATAGATTGACCTAAACATGTAATAAAGGCCGGGTCAATAAAAAATGGCCCAAAATGAAAATAGATCTTTTTTAGCCTAAACCAAATAACCCATGAATCAAATAAATTAATTAACCTTAATGGGTGATAGTTAGTCTATTTAACTCATTATTTTAAAAAAATAAAAATTATAAAATAAGAAATAGAGAGAGTTTTTGCACTACATCTACAGCCCTACAAGACAAGCGAGCGAGAAATGAATCACAATGAAATGGATTAATCTCACATATTTGTCATGTGGATTTCAGCTTCATCGAATATCATATTGAAACTTTATCATTTAATTTAAGTATAATTTTTTAATTCATGAAAAAAATTTAAATGAGTTTGCTGTTTAACTCATCTAACCCACAAACCCACGAGGGATTGGTTAATTTGAATTTTTTTTCAACCTATATAAAAATGGATTAAAATTTAAAGTCAACCCAACTTATATATATTTTTTATTCATATAAACCAACTCATATGTTATGGGTTTCCCAATTGTTTGTAACATTGACAATGTTGGATAAGATTAACACCCAAGAGATGGTGAATTAGGTATTCACAAAATTTTTTCACAAATATTTTTCCCAACTCAAAATGATGAGGAACTTTAAAAAGGATTTCATAAAGAGAGCTAGACAAATGAAGAGTTTGAGAGTAGAGAAAGCAAGACACAAGAAATTTATTCTTGTTCAACCCAACTACTTCGCTTATATTCAGTCCTCAATATTACCTTTAAGATTTTTCATTAAAATCACAAACTTAATTAGGTGTTTGTCACTATAGTACAACATATCTTTTTTCATTCCATTTCAAATATGTTTTCATTCCATTTTAGTTTTGTTTCCGATCTTGTCTCAAAAGATGAAAGCTTAACTCCATTTTAGATTTGGGTTTGTGTTGAAGATGAAAGCTCTCATTCTATTTCCAGTCTAGGTTAAAATCATCTATTCCGTGAGATTGTGTTAGACTTGGGTTCAAGATCATCTTCTTCCTCCCTTAATCGTGCAAATCTATTCATCTTCATCCCCGGTGGTGTTTTTTTATTAATAATAAAGAGCATTATAGTATTTTTAATTGATTTTAAAAAATATTAACGCAAGTATTCAATTCAAATATTATTCATACCAAACATATTTTTAAAGTATCAATCCTACCCTCAATACCAATCTCAATCCCACTCCTAATAACAATCACAATCTCAATTCATTACTACACTAGTCTAAACTTCACAACAACACTTACAACACTTATAAGCCGTTACGATCCACTTAGAAAAATTTCTTCCTAACATTTCAAGTCAATAAATGAAAAAGCGCTTGTTCTATTGTTCCTTCTTGCTGATCAGGCTGCTTGTTCTTAATTGCTATTGGCAATATGTTTTTGTCCACTGATGAGGTGTCGTTGAAGGACGCTGGTAATTTGCTCAAAGTTTTCTCTGCTGCTTCAATCACACCCCTGGCTGCTGCCACCAGCAAGGCTGGATCACTTGTTCCTTTCTCCGTTGGGGGGGGGGGGGTAGCATCAATGTATCATCATCACCTTCAGTGCGGGTTTTAATTTAGGGGAACAGCCACTGATGGCTTGGTCCCGCAACGTCTCATATATAAGGGAGCTTATCTGTTGTTAGTTATATATGGGTCCAGTCAAGTACTCATCATTTTTAATAAGATCTGGATAATCCAGATTTAAAGTTTTTATTTTAATTTTTGTTTTATATCCATCAAAATGAAAATTTATAAAATTTAAAAAAATTTAATAAATATACTTTATCATCATTTTTCTCTAATTTGGATAGCCCATATTTAATTTGGATAGTCAAAATTTAATATTAAATTTTTTTATAATTTTATAAATTAATTATCTAGATTTACTCTAAACGATTCAAATATAAAATTTTAAACTTGTAATTTAAAAAAATGTATTTTTGGAAGGTGCCAAATTCCAATTAGGAGACTATCTTTATTTTTAATATTGTATTTACTAAAATAAAACTATGAAAGAATTTAATATTAAATCCAGAGATTGGCCAGAAAACATGTTTATAAAAAATATAAAAAAATTAAGGAAAAATTAATCTTTTAATCATTCAACTTTTAACTCACTTGTAACTCAATTCTTCAACTATGACTCGCTGCGATTCAGTTCCTCAACTATAACTCGTTGCAACTCAATCCCTCAACTTTTGATTCATCTATAATTCGGTCCTTATTTTTAATTTTATTTAAAAAATTTCTTATCAAATAAGAGGGATAAAAAATGTTCATATATTATTCTAAAATACCCTCCTCTTGCTCATTGATGTAAGATATAAGCTAATATGAAAAAAAATTAACACAAGTTTAGAGACTAATTTGTAAGTGATTCAAAAGTTGAAGGATTAAGTTATAGGTGAGTCATAGTTGAGGGATTAAGTCATAGCGAGTCATAGTTGAAGGACTGAGTTACAAGTAAATTAAAAGTTGAAGGACTAAAAGATTAATTTTTTCAAAAATTAATATCAAATTGAAATGTTCAAATTAAATTTGTACTATCTAAAGTAGTGATAAACAAATTTATTAAAAAATTCATATTTTTTAAATTTTATTTTGATAAATAAAACTTTAAATAAAACTTTAAATCTCATCACAGTAAGTGGATGAGCACCTATAGCAGGACCACCTATAGCAGGACCCCAATGGACGAGTTTTAAATTGAACAAAGTGAGAATTAAGTGGAATTAATTACCATTCTGATCTTGAGTTTTCTTATCAGGTCCCTCTTAATGAAATGGAAATCTTGGGAAATCCTACTCTCCACGGTAAGGTTTATCTCCTCCACTAACGTATGCGTTACGAGGCCTTTCCATGAGTTCATTCAATATCTGAGAGCTCCATGTATGCTTTCGTTTCGCATCCTTTAAAGTCATAATATGTCTTTCCCGATGACAATCAGATTCGCGTGAAAACAATAGTGTCAATTAATGTGGTAACTTTAGTATTGTGTTATATATGACAGATCAATTATGAATTAAACTTGAAAGTCGGTGATCACATACCATATCCTAGAATGCCAGATAAAATCACGCAGACAAAAGCCACAAACTCATAACAGGTAGCATAGTTTTGTGGAACAATTTCCTGCATATTCAAGTCCCTTGGGTTCTCTGCATCCCCTCCGTTATCCTTCTTTCCTGCTCGCCAATAGATAAATCCATGATTAGATGTCAATCAAATTCATCGTCCTTTCTTTTGAATCCACTAATGTATAAATCATGAATTTATATAGAAGATATTATAATAAGTTAACAAGATTGAATATATAGAAAACATTTTTAACAAGTTTTGCTGGTAAATTAACAAGTCTATTGATCCAAATTTGAAGTTAAACCCTTATTGAGTACTTCACTGAAATTATGTCAGGAAATAAAAAGGTATCGAGAGCATGAGTATGAAATAAGAATTAGATGGCTTTTACTACCTTCGCTGCCTGAGGATTTGTCCTTCGTCCGCATGGACATCCAAAAATTCTTGAGACCTGTCATTTGTGTATCAATATATATATATATATAAAGAGGTGACTAAGATCATTTTTTCCCTCAACAACACATAAGATAGAAGAGAGATTGACAATTGAAGACAATACAGTTACAAGTTACTTTTTCAAAAATCTTCATATTACCATTTCTTATTTGCAAAATATAAATAGAAATATAGGGAATTTTTTTAAAACATCCCCCCGTTATTGTTCCATGGGCATCATGTGAGATTCAAGAACGAATTGGACTTACCAAAGTAGGGCTCTGAAAAGAATTGATAACATGTCAAGTAGTTCTTTGGCCACTTAACTTCCGAGCTCTCAGGAGATTTTTTAGAACTAGGAGGAGGATCAGGATCATACTTGAGAGGATCAATATATATACCTTGCTCCCAAAAAGAATATAATAATTAATTCACAAAATGTGTTTATCAAAACAAAGGTTGAATTCTATAAGTTATTCTAAAGAGAGAATCACACTAAGGACCCTCCAAAAGAACTTGTTAGCAATTGGGTTTCATAAGCATTGAAATTGTGCTGCAGCACAAGGTCTTCAATTGTAATAAAATTTTAGATATCAATTACCAAAAAGTTCTTGTCACTTTTTTTAAAACAAAAAATGTCATCAATCTAGTGTTAGCAGCTAGAGCTCTATCACCAGTTGGGAGGCTGCCACCATTGGTGGACGGAACTTCGTCACCAACAGAGAAGCTCCCACCACTGGCACCCAGACCACTATGGTCAATCACCGGAGTTCCGAGATGAGCGACAGTGCTCGAATATTGGTCCACTACGGCAAGAGGCCTAGGTGGATTTATTGGTTTTTAATATAAGTTACTTTGCTAGAATTTATGTAGCATTATTTGTTTTATTCCAAATATGCCCTCCTCAATTTTTAATGAAGAGATAAAAAATGCTTTTAAAAATTATGATATTTATTAGGGGTGGAAACGAAAATCAAAGAAACTTCTAGGTCATTTCAATAAAGTAATTAATTTTTTTTAATTCTTATGAGTTAGTTATATATGGATGGCTTGTAATAAGAATCGGAGAGATATACTTACAGTAGTATATGATTTGCTTCCACCAAGAGAGGCTGCAGCCACTTCTAAAGACAGAAGGTTTGGAGGCCAGAACATGAAGAGGAGTCATTCCATTCACATTGAATTTGGCCATAAGATATGGGTACAGTCGGATTATGTGGAATGCCAGATCTGCATTCATGTTGTGGGAATAATATATACACAAGTACGTACAGCACAATAGTCAATTAATACAGGGCAATTTGATATCTATTTTCAGAAATTGTTTTATATTTATTGATAAAAAATTATTTAGGTAAGTATTTTGAATTTAAATATTTTAAAAATTATTCTTTTTATTTCTTACATTTGACTATTATAAATTACCTTTAGTATGAGCTGGAATATATATAGGTCGACTCATATAAGTTGGCCTGAATGTAAAATCTGGTTGAGTAGAATTAAAAAAATATCTCAAATAAAATGGATCTTTTTCAGCCTGGCTCAAATAACTCATCAACCAAATTGGCCAATTTTAATAAGTTAGGGATGATTCATTTAACTGATATTATTTTTATTAAAAAAATTAAAAATTAAAAATAGAGGGAGTTTTAACGCTACAACTTCACAAGACAAGCATATTTGAAATAAATTATGATGAAACGAATCATCTAATACATTTATAATGTGAATTTTTTAGTGAAATATCACATTAAAATTCATCCTTTAGATATAATTTTTTAGTAAAATTCATGCAACTAAAAAATTAAATAAATAGGTGGATTGATCCATTTAACCCACCAATTCAAGAGAGTTGGATCCATATAAAAATAGGTTAAAATCAACACAACTCATATTTTCTCCAACATATACACACACACCACATATATATATATAAGCCAACTCATATGACTTGGATTGACTTATATTTCCAACTATAACGTTGTTTTTCAATTTTAAGATTAATATAATTAAACCTTTCATTTTATTTTGTTTCAATTTATAAAAATAAAAAATACTCTAGAAGAAAACCAAACAAGGGCATGATTAGTGAAAACGACGGAGCGTACCAAAATGCTCTCTCCTGATGGCGGAGTGAAGGACGGTATCTCCAGTATCACCGGTTCTTCTAAGCAATATATAGGGTCTCTCCGAATTTTGTCCGTATCTGTGAGTAGCAGCTTCGTAAAGGAAGATGAAGGCAGGTTTCCGATTGTGAAGAGCCGCCGTGAAGATGGGTGTCTCGCCCAATTTGTTGGTAATAGAGAGCAAATCCAGACCCAACTCATTTCCTGCATCCACGATGCACTCGCACATTCTCACCGATCCTCTCGCAGCGGCGCGATGCAGAGGGGTTTCTCCTCTGTTATTCTCACTCTTGAGAGCTTCACCGTTTCGACTCTGCCTGATTAATTTTACCAGCTCCTGCACAACACCTTCTCTGTCATCGTTGATGGCCATGTGCAGTGCCGTGTCTTTCGAGCTCGTGATCCAGCTGCTTTGAACCCAACTTGGATGTGTTCGGTAAAACCAAACCACGTTTTCCCAGTCACCAGTGAATGTGTACTTGTACAATTCATCTTCCACGCTCGTCGTCTCTGGCTCTGGACTCGCACATGCTTCAAGAATAGTAGCCTTGAATTATGTTCTCAACACCACCACCTTCTCGTTTTGCATTGACGGTGAAATCATGCATGTCAATTTATACTTGCTGGAAATGGGAGTCACCGTCCAGGAAAAAGAGTAATGAAAAAGAAATCATATCTTACTTTAGAATCTATGAATACTTTTATTTTATCGTATAGCGTGTCTGGATTGTTTTTGGAGAATTTTCCGGGCAATATTTGTAAGTAGTATAAAATGGTAGCTTTTACATCTGATAATTGGTAAAACCAACCCAACATATCATGGTCATTAAACTTAATTTTGTCCAATGCAAGAATTTTCATATGGGCTCAAGTCTACTTGTACAACTTTAACAATATTTGATCCATTTGATTTTTATTATAAAACACCTTTAACTGCCTCATCAAAACAAAGAAAGATAGTTAAGTAATTAACTTTATCTACAAATAAAAGAAACTTTCAATTTTATCGCTATCTAAATGAAATATATTTTTTAATTTGTATTACATTATCTATCATAGTTAATGAGTTTATGAATTTAAATATAGATGATATTAAAAAAATAATTAATACTCCATCAAGTTTTATATTAATAAAAAAAATCTTTTTAAACAGCACCATATATTGGGTACAGGACGAAGTATAACAACATTAAACCGAGTAAAGGCCAAAGGATAAAATATAGTATATCAGAAAAGCCTTATCCAAACACACGCACATAGGAGTGTGTTAACCAGCTTGTTATTTATAATGGAAACGTTTCGTGTTGATGAGGCAAGAATCATTAAAAGCTGGAAGGATTTTACCTCTCACAACTGGCGCAAGAGATAACGCGGACAGGATGCATGGTATCTCGCGAACAGACCAGGAAAGTTTTTGGTTGAGTGCACTGGTACAAAAAGAGTTTTTTACTACAGTAAAAAAATATTTTTTATGATAGAAAATAATGTATGATAGAAACAAATATAGTAGTAAATGTTATTTTATTATGGCAAAAAGTAACATTTACTACCGCAAGTCCAAGATAAACCTGTAGTCGTCAATGGTGAAAAAGAAACATTTTACGGCCACAAGTCTATCCTAAACCTATGGCCATAAATAGTTGGCATTACTATTTACGGTTATGGTTATTAACCATAACTGTAGCCGTAAATGGCATTTTTTTGCCACAATTATATACTATAACTGTGGTTGTAAATGATTTTTTTTAATAAAAAAAGCCATTTGTAATTATATACATTTCTTAATAATTACAAAATTTACATAAATACATAACATTAGCTCTAGAGATCAACACAAACATATCAACTAAATATGTACATTTCCAATACAAATATACATAAACTATTTGATCTAATCTTGTTAATTCTAGAAAGAAATTAGACCAAATGTTACATATATATCTCATTTCTCGCTTAGAATATAGCTATAAACTTGTGAAATGTTACAAATTCAATAACAATTCAAGTATAAGACAAGCTTCAAAATATTAAGCATTAAAAATATATTATTAGCTTATCAAATGAGTTGATAATAACTTAAGTAATAATTTAATACATGAAAAGCATCTCATACTAACCACACTCTACACTTTCTGATTGTTGAGTACACTATTATAAAAGTAAAATTAATTCAATACATAAAATGGATAGTATAATCTTTATTCTAATTAGAGAATAAATTTAAAATACTTACTTAAATATGCACCTACTTGATTTCATTTTTTCTTGTTAACTTTATTTGCTAACCTCCAATAACAAAATAAAGATTTATTTATCAAATATACACGGTTAGAAAATATTAAATATATATTAATAATATCTCTACTTGAATTTATAGATACAAGCTCCTCTCTCTATATCAGTCACTAAACCTGTAGCAGAATATCATTTTTTTCAAAAACAAAAAAGTGAATGAACACATACATTGATTTGAGTGTTTTCCCTCCCAGTTTTTTTTTGGAAGGAAGAATATGACATGCTTGTGTGGATTTGAATTGGACGATAGCATTGAGGAACTATTGATTCTTCAAAGCAAAGAGCCCCTGCATTTTTTTCTTCTTTTGTTTTAAAGTAAAAGAAGCCTGCAATTAAAGTTCTTTTTTTAAAAAAAGACAGCTTAGGTACATACTTAATAAGTCAATAGAGTGTTCTATAACCAGGAACTAGTCAGTGTATCTTGGGGTATATATTTGTTCTTAGTTTCTATCCTTTTTGTTTTTCAGTTTTAGATTAGATGCAAGACTAAGAGAGGACACATTTTTCATGTTAGACTGGTCATCCCCCCTCTCTGTTTCTCTCTCCTCAAGCTCAGAGAAATTATTTCACTATAAAAAATCAAGTAAAAGACCTTGAATATTTATAGTCTATTTGAGTAATTTTAAAGTATATTCAAACTTAGCCAATACCCACAAAAATAAGTGAACAGACATTTTGGTCCTCAAGTAAATTTGGTTTCTTTTTAGTACTTCAAAGAGTATTTTATCTTCAATATTATCCTTATGTTAAACCCAATCAATAGAGATGGTCACCTTCACCTAAAGTGAAGCCAATGCAAATGTCAAGTGTTCAGTTGTCATTTAAACATGCCATGGCAAAGCACCAATGTGAAGACAAGATAGTTTAGAGAACTAAAAAGAGATGGTAAAACTTTGAGGAACTAAAATAGTCTAGCTAGAGGACCAAAATATATACCTTTGAATAGAAGACAAAAACACAAACATAAAAGATATATGATTCACTTAATACTTACAAGTACTGGAGCGTGATCACTCCACTGAGGTTTGGAATGATACCCTGCAGAGTATTATTGGACAATATCCTGACAAACATAAATAAAACCAAAAACCTTGATGAACAATTATGAAACTTCACCTACAGATGCTAATAACACACATGAAATAAGCACGATTTGATTTGGTAAGATGTTTATGTCTTCTTATAGGTCTGTAACATTATAGAGGTTTGTTAGGTTTTGAGGTACAAAGTCAATAAAAAATTATTTTCCAAGCACCTATAACCGTAAAATGAATCAAGAATATATTTGTCAATAAATTAGTTTGAGCAAGTGATAATAGGGACACTTACACCACCATTAAATTTTGAGTACGTCCAAGTGTTTTGGGAATGTTGCTAGTAAATTTATTGTTATTCAAGATCCTGCCAAAAAATACTGGAAAAGGATGTAATAAATGCTGGAAAAAAATAAAAAATGCTAGAAAATGAGGGAAAAAAATTTAAAAAAATGCTGAAAAAAACGCTGGAAAAATCTTGGAAAAGATGTAAAAAAAATTTAAAAAAAGCACCAATTGAGAGGTGGCAAAAATCTAGAGGGAAACGGTGAAGGTAGAGGCGGAGGTAAGTTAAGGGCGATAAAGAGCTAGAGGCGCGTGAGCTAGGAGGTGGCACAAGTTGAGGGGCGGAGCTAAGAGGGCTAGTGGTTGCACAAGCTAAAAGGTGAAGCTATGAGAACTAAGGGGTGAAGTTGAGAGAGTTGGAAGGGCACGAGCTGAGGAAAGGAGTTAAGAGAGATGTAGGGCGAAGCTGAGGAGGCCGCCAAAACTAAAAAGCTAAGGGTAAGAGCTGTGGGAGAGTTACAGAATGATGCAAGGAGTTGGAGGCAATTGTGATATTAGCAACGGGGAGCTAAACAACTAAAAAAACCCTTAGCTAGATTTTTCATGACAGGTCCCTATTAAACCTATTGCCATAGATGATTTATGGCAACAGGTTTAATGGTGACCTGTTGCCAAAGATTACTCTTTAAAAAAAAAATTAACAAATGAGTTGTAAGATATATGGTGATAGGTCTCGTAGACTTTTCACGACAGGTCCCATTTATGGTGACAAGTTTAATGGTGACCTATCGCCAAAGGTTACTCTTTAAAAAAATTAAAAAAAATTAACAAATGAGTTATAAGACATATGGTGACAGGTCTTAACAAGACCTATCACCATATGTCTCTTTTTTTAAATAATTTATTATAATAAATATTAATTAATAATTATTATAATAAATAAATAATTAATTTCAATTATTAATTAATAATTAAAATATGTTAAATTCTCCTAATTAGTTTATAATTTAATTTTACTATTCAATTTTTTAATTAAATTTCAATTAATTAATTTTAGATTTTAATTAATTAAATTAATTTACTTTATTAATAACTTAATTTTTTCTAAAATTTTAAATTTAATTATATTTAATGTCTCTAAATTCAAACGCCTTAACTTTAATTAAATTACTTAATTAACTAAAATTGTATATTATTAAATAAATTTTATTAATTGATTAATTAAGTGTCTTAGAAACATATAAATTAATTTTTATTATTAAATTAATTATTTAATTAATCTAAAATACACTTTAAAGAAGACCAATGGCGATAGGTCCCATAAAACCTGTCGCCAAAGATCCATTTAAAAAAAAGTTAAAAAGAAATTAAAGACAAGTGAACTGTGAGGAACAACATATGGCGACAAGTTTAATGTACCTGTCGCCATATGTCTTTTTTTAAAAAAATTAGTACAGTAATTATTAATTAATAATTATTGTAATTAATATTTAATTATTTTTAATTGTAAATTAATAATTTAAATATATTCAATTCTCCTAATTAGTTCATAAATTAATTTTACTGATTAATTTAAATTTTTAATAAAATGTCATTTAATTAGCTTCATATTTTAATTAATAATTTTAATTAATTAAGTTAATTTAATTTATTATTAGTTTAATTTTTATAAATAATTTAATTTAATAATATTTAATGTCTCTAAATTCCGAAAACTTAAGTTTAATTAAATTATTTAATTAACTAAACTTATATAATTAAACTAATTTTATCAGTTTTACTAATTAAGTGTGTTAGATAAATATTATATATATTAAATTAAATAAGTAATTAATTTTCATTATTAAATAAGTAATTAATTAAAATTTTTGATTAAAGTCATAGAATTTAATTTAATGATTTATGGCGACAGTTATTACTTATGATTGTGGCTAAAAATCTACATTTTTCTATTTATTTACAAGTTTGTCACTATATCATTTATTATCACAATTATTTTAAAAATTGTGACAAAAAATATATCGTTAAAATCTTATTTTGTACTAGTGGTAATTATGATCTTTCTAATTTTTTCCTTCTCTTCTTTATAAATTATCTGTAGTTTAAAGCACTTGACGATCTTGACTTCCCGTTAATTTAAGAATCTTGAAAGTTACAAAAATTGGATGGAGGCTTAGAACTTTTGTGAGCTTTTGCCTATCCACCAGAATTTGCCCCTGATGCCAAAAGCAATAGAATTGTTTTTGGGGGAGACTCTTGAGTCTTGATTAAAAAAATAGTATGTGTTAATAATAAAAAAGTTTGATCCAGTTAATAAAAATTTGTCTCAAATGAAATTTTAATTATCTCCTTTTCTAACCTTTCATACAACACAAGGCATGAATTTGTCTCAAATTTTAAAGATACAAGCACAACTCCAAGTGTAAGAGGATGATCTTGGTTTGTTAACCATGGGAATAGTTGGCTTGGTGCATTTGTATTTCTTTTGCAAGACACAAACCTAAAGGCTATTGAGTTTTTTGATGAAACCCCAACAAAGTTTCATAATGTTCTAAGTTGTGACTCTTGAGTTTCTTACGGCCTAGTCTAATGGAATTTTTATCTTTGGTAATACAATCCCAAGATAAGAGGTGAGACTTGTTGCTTCCATTAGAAGAGTCCCTGAGGAATTTACATATTTCTCTATCTCATCAAGGATATTAATTTTTTCATAAAAACATAATTTGCATGATATAGCTGAAAAGAGTTGAAAGAACAAATTTGATAAGAACACAGCCCTTCTAAGTAGGGCTGTGCAAAAGTCCAGTTATCCTATACAACCCAATCCAAACCAAACAAGTCTAGTCTGGTCCGGTCTAGTAAAAAAATTAGGTCAAAAGACTAAAGAGACCAAAAAAACTAGACTAACTTTTCAGGTTGAACTGAATAGGAGACCAAACTCTCAAAACACTTGATCTAGTCCAGTCCTATAATTTTAATATATTTGAATAGTTTAAAATTTGAACTCAATGTTTCCTTCATTCACATCTTACCATTCTATTTAATATAATTTTAATTTAGTTTGCTGCTAAATTATTGTTGTATTGCATATTAGACATATTGCTGAAGTTTGTTGAATGTTGTTATTGCTGTTATTGAAGTTATGATGACTCTGAATCATTTGGATTGTAACTGAAATATTTTTTGTTGTTGTTGCTGCTGCTAGAGATTAATATGGATTTTTTATGATTATAAGTATTTATTATTTTACTTGAATTTATCAAGATGAAATGAATTGTTATCTCTCATATAGAAAAAAAAGAAAAAAGAAAAGCTAAGTGAGTACTAGATTACTAGGACTAGTCTTTTAGTTCTATGGACCAAGTCCGATTCTATTAATCTTCAAGTTATAACTGGACCAGATCAGATTACGGGTTGATTAACCCAATCCTTTTCATGAAAGAGACTAAATTTTGAGTTAGGTCAAAGTTCAATTTTGTCTCGTCTTTTGTGCAACCCTATAATTCCAAGTAGAGAGAGATGTTATTTAGTTTTTTTCCCTCAATAGAGGTGTAAAAGTGAGCTTGGAAGTCTTCATGCAAGATGAAAATTTTAAGATATTTGTTGAGATTTTCTATAAGTGGTATCCGAAATGATTCATTGTTTTGCACGGCTCTATTAGAACTGACATTATAGGAGCAAAGTATTTTAGATTTTGCTATTTATTTTCAGCCCTGAAGCCTTGCAAACTTGAGAGAAACATTATTGTATGTGATATTAGCTTGACCAAGAGACATACATGCGAAATGCAACATATCATCAGTAAAGTAACATTAATGCCTCATAATTTGACAGTCTGTAAAGCCAATGAACGAAAGAAATTATGTGTTTAATGTTCATTTGGAAGTAGATATATTCTTTTATTGGCAGACAAAAAGCCCAACATGAGATTTCAACTCAGAAAATTAGAAAAAAATATCTTAAATTTTAAAATATAACATACACACACTATCTAAAACGACTAAGGGTGTGTTTAGATTAAAAAATTTACAATTGAGGTTAGCAAACTGAAGTTAGACAAAAAGTCAGTTGATGTACATGCATGTTTGGATTAACATTCAACCTCAGTTAGAATTAGCCAAACTAAAGTTAGGATATAAAATGCTCATTTTATGTTGTTTGGATTAGCAAAAAAATCTCAACCTCAATTAGCCTTAAACAAGCATTTTTTTGAAAGCTCACAGACCTGGCTTTTACATTAACGTCAGCATTAGAAGCCGTTGCAAGCATTTAATGAAGTTTAAATATTTATGCTTTCTCTCTCCACGAGCTGTGTATCTACCCCCATGAGTTGTCTGGTTTTTTTTATGTTGCTGTGCCTCTCATGACCTCCAAACTTGCATCTCCAGATCTACTTCACCCTCCTCTGCTTTAGCTCTTAAGCTCTACATATCCGGCACTGATCAGTCAATCTCCACCTCGGTTAAAGCACGAAGATCTCCACATTCAAGCACCAAGATCTTCACCTTTCGATCTTGCATCTAGTATTCCTCGCTTAGAAGTGGTTTCTCCCTGTTGCCCCTCAATCTCCACCGTGTTTACCAGATCTGAGGCTGCCGTCATCGGATCTACTCTCGTCGACTATTCTTGGAAAATAAGGTTCTTCCTTTTGTCTCATTCCTTGCCTTCCTTGCTGTTAGCTGTTTGTTCCTCTGTGTTTCAAGTTTTCTTCTTCTTCTTCTTCATCTTCTAATGCTTTTCTTTGCATTTTTGGTGGAGGATTTTTTTCTATTTTTCATTCCTTTAGCCTGCGTTGCTTTTCTTTTCATTTAGTCTAGGATGCATGTTCTTCTTCAATGCTGAAATATGAAAAAGCCACCACTAAAGCTATTGGCTGAAGGAAACCCAATGCCGGATTACTACTTGACAAAGAAGAGGATGAGCAGAGAGAAGAGATCTAAGTTACCCATTAGCCATTCTTCCTAGTTTGGTCTTTTTCATTCCTTTAGCCTGTGCTGCTCCTTTGTTCATTTAGTTTAGTCTTTTTCATGGTTGTATGTCTCCTTTGCTCCTCTGTTTTTTTTTTGAATCAGTGTCCTTTCTTTATGGTCTTTTTTAGTTCAATTTTTGATCTGAACTTCTTCCTTAGCCATAGAGTTTAGATCTTTCAAGGTTTCTAATCAACTATTATTGCTTGGAATGCTTCCTTTCTCATTTTCTTTTTCTTCAAGAATCTCGATCAAGTGCGTTGTTCAAATGGTATGAACGTCGTATTCATTGCATGAAGTTGATTTCCATGTGTATCTATTGTTTGGGTTTAGTGTTGGGGTGCTTCTAATCGGCTATGGTTTTTTTTCCTTCCTTGTTGACTGCTCGTGGCTGTGGGAAATCAGCTGCCCTTGTTTTATCAATTGCCGTTGCTATTGCCGTGGGGTAACGTGCTTTATATACATTCAGATATGAATTTATATATATATATATATATATATCCATTTAAGATATAATGAATATCTTGTGCTATTTATAATGTGTTTCCTTCCTTGTTTTAAAATGAACAGATGCAAATATTATGCATTTCTAGAACTGAAAATGCCAAACTGAAAATGTGGGCATATAGCAATTCCTTCCTTGTTTTAGGATTATTATTTTCATTTAGTTTTGCTGTGACTCTAGGATATGGTGGTAAATCGATACATATATGTAGAGATATTTATTAATTTTACATGTTTGTGATGGTTGGCTAGTTTATAGAACAATGAACACCGATAAAGGAAATGCTGTGTGAAATTCAATCTTGATAGAAATTTTCATTAAGGAATGCTTAGAGCAAGTATACAAAAAACAAAGGAATGGAACTACTTTTAACAAAAATAGGTGGCAAGCAATAATTGAGGGGTTTGAAGAAAAAACAGGAAAAAGGTATGACCGAAAGCAACTAAAAAATAAACTGGACAACATAAAGAAAGAATGGAACATATGGTACAAATTATTTTCTAGTGAAACCGGCTTAGGATGGGACAATGTCAAGAATACTGTCGATGCTCCGGATGAGTGGTGGGAGCAAAAAATCTTGGTATGGATTAGTTATTAAGTGCTTTTTAGATTAGAATTTAATTTGAGAATCTTAATTATTGATTACTTGAATGGTTGCAGAAGAATCCCTTTTATGAAAAATTTAGACATAAAGGGTTGAGGTTTGCAAGGGAATTAACCTTCATATTTAGGGATGTCCTGGCAACTGGGGAGACATTGTTTGTGCCATCTACTACCCAAACCCAAATAGAGGATGATGATGATGAAGATGTGTACCGCCCCACTGTTGACCTTCAAGAAGGATTCAGTGATAGTGAAGAGGAGTTAAATTTATCTGACACTGCAGCACCTACGGGGGTCACTGATGAGTTGTTAGGCTTGAATGTCACCACAAATACCGATAGAACTAGTGGTGATGGAAGTCAAGGCAAGAGAAAGAGGGTTGTAGGAGGCAGTGGGAGGAAAAAGCAAAAATTCCCTGCCTCAATAAAAATAGCAGATGCGATGAGTAAAATAGCTAAGGATAATAGAGCTAGAACAGAGACAATGAACAAGATTTTGGCAAATGACATAGGAGTTTCTGAGGTTGTAACTCACCTAAATGGACTTCTAGAAGTTTTTGGTGATGAAGATTTACATTAGAGATGTGTCAATCTTGTTTTATACAAGCCTATGTGAGATGCTTACTAGTAACTTAAAGACCATCCTGATCACTTGGTCAATTAGTTGAAGCACTAAGTCTACCATCTACCGGATTTTATTTCAAAGAATACATAAGGATGAATTTTTATCTGGGCTTATGATGACTTGACTGGTGTTTATTTTGACTTAAAGACTAATTGTAGTTGCTTTTTGTAATAGCCCTCCTAGGTTACCACTGCCTCTCCAGGGTCTTTTCTCAGGCGCTGGATAACACACATGTCACCACATGATTGTCGGCTTTCCCACTGGTGGTACAATGGTTATTCCTCACCCCATCCTCACGGGGGTCTTTTGGAACCTCCCCAAACTCGAACCTCCAACCTCTACCACCTTAACGAAGTTGAGGTGAAGTCTGGTACCATTGAGTCAAGTTGACTCAGTGGTACCAGATTCAGCCTGAACTATGCTAAGGTGGTAGTAGTTGTGGGATCGAATTTAGGAATGTTTCAAAAGGCCTCTTGAGTGGGGTGAGGAATAGACACTGTACCACCAGTACTAAATGCTGGATCTAGGCCCCGTGAGGGGAGGGGTCCCAGCACCGCCAAAAGACCCTGGGGAGGCAGTGGTGAGGCCGTGCTATTACATAAAAGGCGCCTTTTATGTAACAGTACACGGTCCTCACCCCACCCCACCGGAGGTCTTTTGGACTAGACTCACCCCGCTTTCCCGAGATCTTTTGTCCAAGCTAGGCTAGTTCCCCTCACGAGGCCCAAACCGGCATTCAGCACTAATGGTACAGTGCCTATTCCTTACCCCACTCAAGAGGTCTTTTGGAACCTTTTCAGATTCGATCCCGCAACCACTACCACCTTAGCGTAGTTCAGGCTGAATCTGGTACCATTGAGTCAGTTAACTCAATGGTACCAGGTTCAGCCTCAACTTTATTATATAGGAGAGGTTGGAGGATCGAACCTGGGAAGGCTCTCCGCAAGGGGAATAATCCTGCACACTACTACGGGGAAGCCTTTGTCTCCTGTTACTCACCGAAAGGGGTGGGGTCGCCCTATTGTGAGGCCTGGGGGGAGAGTGTCCAGTGCCGCAAAAGACCTCGGGGAGGCGGGGTGAGCGGAGGGCTGTTACAATGATTCTCCAACATACCCATATCACTTTTAATCTTCTTAACCTTACCAATCATCTCTTTCATAGCTCTCTCTAAGACATTGATTTTAACTGACAAAATAACAAGGTCCTCAATACGTAACTTACTAGTCCATCATGCCCTCTTTCCACCCTAGTATGGAGGTTAAGACTCCCCTCTTTTCTCTTCTATGTAAGCAAGAGTCTCCTTAGTTATACCAAACATCCTTGCCTATGAGTATGAATTTGAACCGCCGCTCCCTTGAATCTTGGCTTTGATACCACGTTGTCACAGCCTTGAAACTCCCTGGTCCTTAAATCATGCCGGTCTTAGCATGATCAACCTCTTGATCTTTACTCAGTCAGCCGAACCCTCAAAATGTAGGCAAAGGAACTAGGAAACTTGAAGACAAGAGAAAAGAGAGCCTGGATGAAAAAACTTGAAAGCTTTATTAATATGTTTGCTTTGCTTGTTTGCAAATGAGGGGTTGTGAGGGTATCGGCCTCCCACTTTCTTTAAAAAATTCCCACCTTCTTAATAGACGGTAGGGATCAACCTAATCCTACGGTTTACATTCATCATCTAGAGTGTTCTACAAAAATATCTACAATAAATATCTAAATATTTATAAAAATATTTCTAGATCAATCTTTAAGATATGTGTGGAATGTTCTAGAACATTCTAAAATATCCTAGAATATTCTAGACATCTCTACATTCCTCCATAAGTTTCTAGAACCTTCTAGAAACTTCTCGATTTTCTCATATATTTCTAGATTATTCTAGAACATTCTAGAACATACTTGATTCTTCTTGAACATTTTGGATTGTCCCGAAAATCTCTGCATGATATTGGACGTCTCCAAAAGCACCATAATTTCATGGTTTCTTCTCTTTTTGAACAGAGATTGTGACAGACAGCTATGAAATCCACCACTATAATTTTGCTTTTTGGGCCTCTATCTACCCATTTCAAGACATTTCTTTGCTAAAGCAACCAAAACTGGATTCAGCAGGTAACATCTTCTCTCAAATTTTGGGAATTTCTCAAGTTTTCAATCGGTTCTTTTTTGTTGATGTAGTCCATTGAAGATTAATTGATTATATATGATTTAACTTTGGTGAACGAAGTCTAATTTTATAGTTAAATATATAAAAGCATTTGATTCAATTCTTTGCCATTGAGCCTTTGGGTTTTATTGCAACATCAAAAGACTGTTCGATTTAGGCAGAAGTTAGCGACTATGTTCAGCAATCTCACTGTTAGAGAGTCCAGAAAATATAATATAATTTCCTCAGGTATTCTAATCTTGTTTCTCCCTTTAAAAATTATTCCTGTTCGGCGAAGAAATAGATACGTGCCAACCCAACAAAACTGTACGGCTTTCAAAATTTCCCTTTATCTAAGATGTTGTCGTCACTCTATTTACATTTACACCTTGACGAATGATCAATCTTTTGGCACAGAGAGTTAAGCTTATACCAAAAATCAAAAGCCATCTGATCTTTTTCATGAAAACTGTTTTTTTAGGCCTTCGTCATAACTTACAACAATATTCAAGAGTATGGAAATAGGTTTTAATTTTCCCGCAGATTTTGATTTTATTTCTAAGTGATGGACTGATTTCTCATGGAAGTTTGGGTTTTGCTCATACTTCTGGTCAGGGGAATAACGCCTTTGATTGGAACGTAAGAAGGGAATTATCATCAAAATCATGATTGGCTACAGGTAATTACTCGGATAATTCTGATTGCTAAGCTATATCCATTAACCACATCATGATCACTTGAAGGATAGAGTTTTGCATTTTCATAATTGATGTTGATCAGTATTATTTAGTAAGTATACTTTACAGGTTCTAAAAGGATTTCATAAATACAATATGAGGCTGTGCAGTGCCTTACCTCTATTCATTTTTCGAATTCTTACCTAAGAGAATGGCGAATCACCCTCTATTTCATAAGGGAGATGCCTTGTGCGTACTAGAATATGCCCCTCATCAAAGTCGACATTTAGGGGTAACAATTAACAATTAAAACTTCGCACTCAGTCAACTGAACGAGTCTTATATACGTACATGTGATGCGTGCAAAATTTTAAAACAGATTGAAAGCATATGAATTTGAGGTAATATAGTGAATCAAGATCATTTCACAAGAAATGAACTAAAAAGAATTGGGCACAAACGAAAGTTGTTTTCATTTTAATTAAGTTATCCAATTAAAGGTGAAATTTTTATTAAATACAAAAAACAAGAATAAAATAAAATAAATTCAAAGTATAAATTCGAGTTAAGATCAACACGTAAAGAGCTTCCAAGGAATTTGAATCCCCTTTTATACTTTACAATTAAGTTTCTTCTAGTTATTGCATTTTAATTTAACTTTAAAATTGAGGATCTAAATTAGATTGTGTATTCATTGATTACAAAGCCCATGATCTAACCATACTATGATGTCTTAAGAAAGTATTGATCCAATTATGCACAAGCCTTATAAGATTTTCTAGTCCTTAAGTATATTTTCTATCTCAAACGCAAATTAAATTAAATTTAATCTTAAGTTATTTAATACATATATAGTTTTTTGAGATTTCCTTTTGTTGAAGAGGAAACCCAGATCCAAATACATACTAAAGTTGGCCACTAATAGCATAAGAATAAAAATAAATCTTATTAAGCATGTTTATTGAAATTGATAACTAAAAAAAAATCTATTGACAAATATTAAATGTTCAAAAAATTCCTAATGATTAAAAAAAAAAGTAGCCTCTAAATGTGAAAAATAATTTTAAAATAGAATTAAAGGCATAATGGAAGAAATAAGAGAATCTAGAGAAATCTCTTAAAGAAACTCCATGATAACTCTCTAAATTTCAATCTAGTGTCTAAGCCCTTGATTGATACTCTAAAATTGCCTTTTCTATTTCAGACATAAACTTCTATGGTCTTAGAAGTCTATTAAGGCTTTATTTATTATTTTTTCCCACCCCTTTGGCCTCAAATTTCCGTCTTATTTTATTTGATTTGATGAGATATTGTTTAATTTTTTCATTGGATTTTAAATCAATTTTTGTCCTGTGGTTTTCTACACATCCATGCGCAGTCATATTCTTCTTCTCCATGTCCGCGTGCGATCGAATGATGAAGGGTCCTTATCCGCGAGCTCCTCCACGCATGGTAGAACATCAAGACTCAGTGTGTCCACGCGCCATTGTGCTTTATTCACCTTCCTTTTTTTTATATAAACCATCCGATATCTTAGGGTATTCTGGGTTCATTGCCCGCCCCAGACTAATCCGAACCCCCCGTAAGGAGACATTACGATAGTAGCGAGGTATCGATGGGATGACCTCTTTGAGGTTGCGTTAACTATCGCATTTGTCACTCCTCAAGATTCGAACCCTCGCCCTAAGTAATGCTGGCAGTAGCCCTTGCCAACTCTACCGAGCGCCCATTGGTTGCTTTATTCATCCCTTGTTTGTGAGCAGACATACTCACTTCCATGGGATGTCTCCTTTGTGCTCAATCACATCTATGTGCGGAGAACTTTTCTTCTTCACTTGTCGATGAGTGACAACTCTTTTTGGGCCTGTCCCTTGGGCTTTAAGCTAATACTTTACATTTTTAGCTTTTTGTATATTATTTTCACTCATTTTTTTATAAAAATGCCTAAGAATTACCAAGTGAGGTATTGTATTTAAATTTCTATCAAGTTCTAAATTAACAAGCAAATAAAAGAGCAGAAAAATACATTAATTGTGAGGGGAGGGAGGGATATGTCATGTGTTGGGGTTTGTTTTGTTCATGACTGTACTTGGAGCAAAGAAGACCACACCAGATGGCCTGCAGAATTGCACAGGTACCTTCGCATATATATATATATATATATATTTTAAATTTTCTCTCAATAAATTAACTAGCCATGAGACTTCAAATCATTATTACAAGTGACTGAATCTGTTCAAGGCATGCCCAAATCTCCAATGATTTGGGAAACTAACTTGAAGAAGATAGTACAGATCATATATGATTTCAAAGTCATTTTTCAGTGTGTCCTTTTCCTTGTACTATTTGCATACTTTTTTTTTTTTTGAATTTTTACTTTTTATATGCCATTGTTGTTTATGTATGTGTGTTTATATTATCTGCCTTCTCTTCCATTTGTACTGTATCTTGAGTTATTTACAAGACTATCCTATCTTAGTTCATTTACATGTGACTCAGAATTTATAATTGTGAAGCACGATAAGTGGGTGGTATTAAATGGGGATGATAGTCGCTGCTAGAGGCAGAGCTCGAGGAAGCAATGAAGAATTTGTCGCCAAACTTCACTTTGCACGGGCAGTGCAAAATAGATGGGATATTATTTGTTGCATTGTGAAAACAGTCTTGATCTCTCTCCCAGATGGCCATACAACACATATTAACAGTGTTTGTACTTTACTCTCGTGATTTATTATAAATATTTATATTTTTTTAATATTTTAAGTCATTAAATTTTTATTTTTCAATGCTTTAGGTCTTTAAAAAATTGTTCAGACGGATCTAAAATATTAAAAATAAAATTACAGCTATCTAAAATACAAGAAAAAAAATATAAGAGTTTATAATAAAACTTGATTTAAGTATGCAAATTCAAATATATGTTTTTTCGAAAAGCAATGCAGTGATAGTGACTGTGATGTAAGCATTACCTTTCAACTTTTGACGACCAGATCTTAATACTATTTTGCCCTCTTATTTGTCTTGTTGGATAGTTTTGTTTCATTTTGCTCCTATAGAATTGGAGCAAGAATCGTTGATTGCGGGCACAAGGACTTTTTCTCTTGTTAAGATGCACTTTGAAATAACGTAAAATTATCTTTCACGTTTTTTTTTTTTGGGCGTGTCGCGGAATGTAGGGAGTGTGTAATTTTATTAGAAGTAATTGGTGTAATTTTATGTCCTATTAAGCTGTGAAACATTTGTTTTTTGAAATGGAGAGAATCTTTCAATGAAAAAAAGCCTCTATTTTTTTTAAATATCACCCTATTTTGAATATTTATTGTTAGAATCGTCTAATATTAGGCTCAAAATAATAGACGATTCTTATAAACGTTTAATATTTGTTTTGTAAATATATGACATCAACATATTAGATATAAGCTAAAACAATCATCTAATATTATAAGATAATTAGAGATAAAATTATGCATATTAATAAAATACAACAATAACACTGTACTAACTCACTTTTTTAAAACAAAACTATAAACTTTAAAAAATAACTATTTATAATTAATCATTTCCAATATCATTTTGATTTTTTTTTCACTTGAAATGTAATATTAAAAAGCATCATTAGTAAAATTTTAATTTTTTTAGATTACCTTATATTTTAAGCTAATTTTTTAAATATTATTTTATAATTTAAAAGGATGGAATAGTATTTAAAAAATTGCAGTTTTTTTTTTTAGAAAAATTACTCTAATGTCTCATGGAAGTGTTTAAAATACGTTGAAGTCTCATGAATTCATGAAATAGCTGCCAAATCTCAAAAAACTTAAGGATGAATAAGTCTAAAAATAAAATTACTAACTTATCCTCTACCATTGAAAAGGAGATTTTGCTTGCACGCGCACGTCCCACAAAACTCATGATCAGTGATACGGAAGATTGTTACATATTCATAATTGTTGATCATGATAGGGTAATTTTCACTTCCTCATATCCATGATTACTGCTCTTGTCTTCATTTAAGTGAGTTGGGAGTGTTTCATTTGTTATTACAAGATTTCATCAACAGAAAAAAAATAGTGATTGTTGGATGGGTAAATGATTTTTTGTGCGTTAATGATTTCATTATTGTTTAAGGGTAAGATAATGCTTTCTGGATATACCTATAATCATTCAGTTTGCATGACTAATGGGTATGAAATAATTTGGTGCAACGTTGATACGTTGAAAAATATCTAATATGAATAACTTTATATATCGTCAATCGTGTATTCTTATGTTGTCAATATTCGATAGATAGTTTTCGATACATTGTATTGTGGAGGCTGACTTGCAAGAATGCAAATACTATTAGAAAACATGTATTGTGTTATTTTTTTTTCATACAAGACATTTTATATATTATTCCTAAACATCTGATACAAACTTATTTTGTTAAAAAATCTCTGCTATGAAACAACATTGCATGTTGTCAATACACTGTGTGTGGTGCAGGTTGACTTGTAAGATGGCAAGTTCTTCTAGAGAACATATTATGTTTCTTTCTATATAGGAGCATTTTCAAAATGATGGTCAAGGAAGTATACAATATATTACAAGTTTATCGCTCAACAGAAGATATATGCCAGTAGCATGAGGCCAGTAGCCACACATGACTGTCCATGTCTAGAAGCATTGACAATGAAAAATTTATTAATCTAAATCTTCTTGAGCCACTGATAACTAAAAGACCTCCGGGTAGGCCAAAAAGTAAAAGAATGAAATCTCAATTCTAAAACAAAATAGTTTATCATTGTGGAGGATGCCATGAGACTAATTATGCCTCCAAAACTTGCAAGAATCCTAATCTATGCTAGAAAATATAAAAGACAAGTGTATTTTTTTGTTTATGTATCTGGAATTTATTTTTTTTGGTTATTGCACCTAATGTATTAGTACTTGTTAATGGCAAATGTATAGCTTGTAAATAAAATGATACCTTATAATCAATGGCCAACTGCAAGTAGTCAACAAGTTCTCGTGACTTGTTGATTTTTAAAGAGAATAATAGCACTTAGTGTCTCAACACTTATCAATAGTAAATTCATACCTTGTCAATATAGTGATAAACACTTATTAATTGTCAACGATAAGTAGTTAACGTGTTCTTGTAAATTGTTGATTTTTAAAGGAAATAACAGCACCTAATACCTCAACACTTGTTAATGGGAAATTCATAGTTTGCTAATATAGTAATAACCACTTGTTAATATTTAATTAATAAAACAAACTGTTTGCCACATTTACAAACTTGTAATCAACATTTATAACAACATTGTCTAAGTTAACTAAAAGAAATGGGCTAACTATACAAAATGACATGATTATCAATAAAATTATATCCTAAAGTTTTATCAAAAATCTAATAATGAATTTGTCACTATCAATGCTCCTAGATATGGACAGTCATATGTGGCTACTGGCCTCATGCTACTAGCATATATCTTTTGTTGAGCGGTAAATTTACAACATATTATATACTTTTTTAGTCATCATTTTGAAAATGCCCCCTATATGAAAAAAAATATAATATATGTTATTTAGAAGAACTTGCCCTCTTATAGGTCAATCTACACCATACACAGTGTATTGACAACTATACACAATATGTTGACAACATGTAGTGCTATTTTATAGCAGAGATTTTTCAATAAAACAAGTTTGCATAAGATGTTTGGGAATAATATATTAAATGTCCTATATGAAAAACAACATAATATAATACATGTTTTTCAGTAATACTTGCATTCTTACATGTCAGCTTGCATAATACAATGTATCGACAACTATCCATAGCATATTGACAATATAGGAATATATTATTAATAACATGTAAAGTTATTCATATAAGATATTTTTTAATATATCAATGTTGCACCAGTTAATTCTATATCTATCAGCCATGCAAACTAAATGATCGCAACTATACTCAGAAAGTATTATCTTACCCTTAAACAATGATGAAATCATTTACCTATCCAACAATTATTGTTTGTTTTCTGTCAATAAAATCCTGCAATAGCGAATGAAACATTCCCAACTCGCTTAGATAAAGACCCGCTATAATCATGAATATGAGGAAATGAAATTTACCATATTGTGATCAATAATCATGATATGTAACATTCTTCAGTATTGTTGATCATGATTTTGTGGGACATGTGCACGTAGGCAAAATCTCTTTTTTAATGCTAGAGGGTAAATCAATAATTTTATTTTTAAATTTATTCACCCTTAAATCTTTGAAAATCTGACAATTATTTTATAAATTTATAAAATTTCAGTATATTTTAAATTTTTTTACGAGACTCCCCCCCCCCCCCCCCCCCCCCCCCCCAAAAATTTCTTCCCCTTTTGTTTTTCCCAGTTCAATAAGGTGCCCCAACTTTGCCTGCCGCCGGATTGTTCGTTTCAGGCTCGTTGAGGTTTGCGAACAGTTCCATCTCTCGTCACCAATGGCGAGTGCGCATTGCACCGTCTTCTCCCTTCGCCTACGTTCGAATAACCCCATTGCCAGACGAACCTGTCCTCTGCTAGTAGTAGTTTCTTCTGTTCCTGCTTCAAACCCTACAAAAGTCAGGCTCAGGCATAGGAGGAAAAACCATTTGAGACCCAAAATTCTGAAAACGCTCACTAAATCCCATCCATCCATCGTTCCTCTTCTAACTCAAGAACCTCCCCTCTCGCGCCCACATACCACAGAGGTAGATGATTTTCCTGTTGAGGTTCCCGCCGATGGAGTCCCCTCCGAAAGTATTGCTGTCGCTGCCGGAGAAGGTGGTGAGTTGGAAGAATCACCAGCATCTGAGATGACGGGAACATTGGAAGAATTCAACGGTATTTCTGGCAAGCTTTCCGCTAGGTCTATCCTAAAATACAGTGCCATTTTGTTTGGGGCTTTTGTGTTACAGACTATTTTTTCCGTTTTGATTACGCTCGATGATGACTCGAAGCAGAAAGCTGGGGATTCGAGTATATATGCAAGAGAAAAGAGGAATGCTTTGTTTGATGGGAGTGGAAAAACCATGCGGGTTGCTAGTGCAAGTGGTGCGATTTATTTGGAGGATCAGCATGAGATGGAAAAGAAAATTGAAGAAATTAAGCTAATGGCAAGGGAAGCTCGGATAATTGAAGGAGAAAAGGAGGAGAAAGGAATTGGATACCCTGAAAGTGATGATGAAAGCGCTGTTTCTGGTCATAGACTTGGCATTGAGAAAGATATTGGTGCACGCTTGTTGAAGTTGCAGGATAGGGTGAATTCTGGTATGGATAAATCAGCATGGTTAAATGCTATTAAGAATTTGCGAACTTGCGTAAAATCTACAGGTGGAGTGGTTAGGGACGATAAGAATGTGAACAAGGGAAATGGAGCATTAACGTTTAAGAAAAAGCTTAAATATAAAAGCCCTTCAACAAAGCCAAGAAAGGCTCCCAAGGTTTTTCAGGGACTAGAGACGACAAAGCATCTAATGCAGAAACTATAGATTCATCGAGTAAGGACAAGGCTACAGCACAAGATAATAGAAGCACCGCCACCGATCACGTACAAATATCAAGTGAAGACAAGCACGTAAATCAACAAGATGATGAGACACAGGAAACTGATTCTAGGCTTTCGTTGGAAGACGGAGGAAAATTGGTAGATGAAGAGGCCAATACATTGCTGAATACTGGGAAGAATATGGAAGAACTGATGGCAAGACCAAATGTAGGAACTGGAACACAAGTTAAAAATAATCGAACAAGCAATGGTAATGATCTGTTAAATCGTAGGTGCATGATTTTTGAACGGTTTTCCTTATATATATATATATATATATTATATTCCTATTTGAACTCATTAGACTCAATTTCAGCTGTTCTTACATCGTTGTTTGGAGTTGATCAATCTCACATTTTATCTGCTCCCTGAGGTTGGGTTAGATATGCATATCAGAGTTAAGGAAATAGAAATTTACTATTATTTGCTTTGCAGTTTCATTTTTTAAAAACACATAACGAATATAATGCACATCTAATGCTTTTTAGCTTTAAGTATTTTTCATGTTATAAGCAGAAACCAATGAAATGTAGGGTAGGTTTGCAATAAATTTAACCAATTTGAGTTTTGTTACATGCTTAGGCGGTTTCCCGGAGGATAGTTTTGGGATGTCTTCAGTTGAAGTAATACAGTCCAGAAAATCAAAAGATTTGAGGACACGGAACTCACTGGGTATCGTAGAAGAAGATCAGGATGATAACAAAATTTTTGAGAAGGGTGATGTACTGAGTGTAAATGGCAATCCAAAACATGGAATAGCTGATAAAGTTTCTGCAGCTAACAATGTCAAAGTTAAGCTGGCGATCACTGAGAATGATATGTGGTGGTCGAATCTCCGTTATGTTCTTGTATGTACGAATCCTTTTTTGTTTTTGTTTTTGTTGACAGCCAATTTTCAGAAACATAACTGTAGGGAACAGCATAATATTGTGCCCATAGTGCTGCTTCTTTGTTTGATCTACTTGTCTTTTTAGCACTTGTTATGCATGCCTGCTGGGGCAACATTTAGGCTTCTATATTATATACGTCCTCGTCATGCAAGCATACTGAGGCCAGTCCTTGAAAACTTTTAAGTTTAAACACACAACCAATATGCTATATTGTGTGACCTTGTCTTAAACTCAGCTTTATAATTTTTTTCTTTTCTTTTTTGGAGGTTTTGATAGGGATCGAGAGATGCGGGAGAAACCCATGCTTAAAATTGGCTTGTAAGGGGTAAGAACTGCTCTCTTTAAGTATCACTAGTTCCCGGTTGTAGGAATCCTAGAATTTGGGGTGTTAACGTTAACTGGCAAGTTCTGGGGACGTGGAGCACACCTTCCTGACGGGGCTGGCTTGGATGCAGCCTACTTAGGTATTCCTTTCCATGCAGATTTGTTCCATCTCTAATACCTAATTAATGGAGACCTAATCAAGTGGGAAGAACCCACTCTTAAAAACCAGTTTGAATGGGAGAGGGACCATTCCCCTCAAGTACCATAAGGATCATGGCATTATGCTTTGGGGACTCCATCATGTTTGGGGAAGGTAAGACCGGAAGAGGATCTAATAGGGGATCTGGGGAGATACTTGGGTATAGAAATCCCATTAGGCACCCCCACGTACAAGGAGTGGGGAAGATATAACCCACATCTCCATATGCTTATCCCAACCTTAAAGTTTGGACTGACTGAGCTACAACACATGGTTTGGTTTATGAGTTCTTTTGCTTGAACCTAGGCACATAGCATGCTGTTGAGTATTATGCTTTCCTTTAAATGCATCCCTTGATGATACTTCTAACCATTAAGCTGCTATGCATTTGTGAAGGTCATAATAATGCGAAGGGGTTCGGACAAAGAAGGACCAAGCGGACTCTATAGCTTAAAAATAACTTCTCAAGAAGAGGACCAGAATGGCTATTCCTATATTGTTGCTTTTGAGGATGATGCTGATGCCAACAACTTTTGTTTTCTTCTAGAATCATTTTTTGAGGACCTGGGTGATTTTAGTGCTGATGCAGTTCCTATGTCAATACAAGTGAAAATCTCAACTATGCTCACCTACACAGTAAATACAATCTTATACGCATACATAGATTTAAAAAAAAAAAAAAGTTTTGCTAGATTTGAAGCAAAGTTTGAAATTGAAACTTGCAGTTTAGTGTCCAAATACAGAAGCCTTTATTGAGCTGTTGAATTGTTAATAGCGTTTGATGCATGCCATGTAATAAAGGGAACTTTATTTTTTTTTTTCCTTTTTTTGGCAGGAACTTCATCAAGCGGTAAAATCACACGCCAAGAAAGTATTCGTTGTAAAGAAGAGACAGCTACAGCTTTATGCTGGGCAACCACTTTCTGATGTTGAGATGACCTTGTGCTCTCTAGTAGAACAACATCAAAATGTCCGTCCGGCTGATTCAAAATAGCTTTGAATTTGGGTTCTGACGTGTTTTTTTCTCAACTTCAACCAAATTGAATTGCCCCCCAGGTAATGATTATGAGATGACTAGTGCTCCCTGAATGCTACAAGGAACATCTAGAGTGATAAAACAGGCAGTGATGCAGTCTTTGCCATGCTTGTGTTGGTAAAACCAAACCGTGGCATATCTGTCCGAAACGTGGGAGTTGGAGTGGAATGTGGAGGTCAAGAGTTATTGGGGGCTTAATTTAGGATAAAAATTATTATCTTCCTAAATTTTTGTTGTGCAAAGTAAGTTGATAGAAGGCTCCAGTTTAAGAAGCTCTAGCAATCATCTTGGGAACGTAGTTGACAGAAAGTTCCATTCTTTCTGCCCGTGTTGAAGCGAGTGCGACAGACAGTCAATATTTTTGGCTATTTTTTTCTTCTTTTTATTTGGAACCATATTGATTCATTTTAACTGTTTGTTTTTCGTTTGTCATATTCTGATCAGCCATATCAATATTTTTAGAACGAAACCGGATATTGAATTAGAAAGGTTAACGATTAATGATTCGTATGGTCCAATCGAGTTGAACCAATGGACGAACTAGTGACGTAATAATTAAATAAAAAATTATATATATAATAATTTAAATATAAGAAATAAATATGAAATTGTTACTGAATTTAAAAATAGAATTAAATATTTTAAATTTATCATGACTTAATAAGTCACATAATATAATATAACATTAAATGATTAAAAAAATTAGTCATTTTTTAAAAAAAATTTGATAAAAAAATAAAAAATGAATTTTTGAACAGTTTGGTTTTTAAAAACAAGAATTGGTTTTCAGTTTGATTTCGGTTCTCGATTCAATTGCAAGTTCAAAGTAATTCAATTCGGCCCAACTCTCCAAATAATTTTTTTGGCTCGAACTAAACCGTTAGCCTGACTGGTTGATGATTCTATCGATTCAATCATCTAATTCGATCTGTTTTTAAATCATTAATCCATATCAATATCAAGCAACATTAATAGAAAAATATAAAATCTAGAGAAAATCACAAATAAGGACTTTGGAGTATTGCGAATGATAATCTGTTTGGAGTATTGCGAATGATAATCTGGACAACGAAATTATGAAATTACATTTTAACACCATTGTCTTTTTTTGTAGTTCTAAAAATAATATTTTAACTAAAATTTCATGTTCTAAAATGCCAACTTATAATTCATTAATATTAAAATCATTTTAATTGAATTGAAAATTTAGTTAAAGGGGATAAAATTACTTTATTTGAGTTGAAAATATTTTTACTCTTAAAATTACAATTGGTCAACTTAATATTCTTTATTGTTGAAATCACTTCCATGGAGTTGAAAATTTAGTTGAAGGGAGTTATGAAATCATTTTATGAGTAAGAAAATTTTTAATTTCAAACTTGTAATTGGCCAATTTAAAATTTACTAGTACTGAAATCATTTTAATTAAGTTGAAAATTTTGTTAAAGGAAGTTATAAAATTACTTTCTTTGAGTTAGACAAGCTTTTACTTCTATACATGCAATTGGCTGGCTTAAAATTCATTGATGTTGGAATCACTTTAATTGGGTTAAAAATTTAATTAAAGGAGATTATAAAATTATTTTATTTGAGTTGAAAGTGTTTTTATTCCTAGATTTATAATTGACTAACTTAAAATTATTGAATCATTTTAATTGGGCTGTAAATTTAGTTTAAGGAGTTATGAAATTTTGGCCTAAAAAGGGGTTGTGAAATTATTTTATTTGAGTTAAAAAAAATTATTCCAAGACTTTCAAACTTGGTCAGTAGGAGCATGTTAGTTGAATTGTTATTTTTATAATTGAAACAAAGGATCAAGGTCCTAAAACTCGGTTTCATAATTTCATGCTCGAAGTGGTTATTGGCGATATTCATCGTCCTTAGTCATGATTTTTCTTAAAGTCTATTATTCTATTGGAGGTTTACATCATTGCATGGGAGTTGAATAGTTACGAGCATATATATATATATATATTATATAATTTTTTCATTTAAAAATATAAGATATTTTTAATTAAATCTCACATCTTAATAAAGTAGTTATTTACTTTTAAACTAACCATATATTTTTATATTTACCCATATTAAATACTCTACAATAAATATAAAATCATTATCAATAGAAGCACTTTAAAAAAAAAACAATGATTACACCTTAAAAGATTAAAAATATCTTACATTTTTAAACATTCAACTATTTTAAAAATAGTTTACATTTTTAAACAGAAGAAATATATATAATATAGTATCTTTAGTTATAAAATCTTAAATATCAGTTTTTTTCTTTTTCAACGGACAACTTTTTTCTACAACCAAATACTTTAACTTTGTAAGTGAGATGTATTCAATGACAATGAATAATGAAATAGAAAACGTGTCAGAAATGCGACCAAAAATAAATAAATAACAGGAAAAATATCATCTAAGGTTCTTTGACAATTTTTATATCACAAAAGGCTAAAGTATGCTTTAAATTTTTTAACTTTATATAAAATTTAAATTTAATTTTTTAATTTTATAAAATATTTTTTAATTTTATAACTCTAACACTGTTAGTTTTAAATAATTATTTTTTATATTAATCATTATTATTCTTAAAAAATTAAACTTAATATGTTAATATTTAAGAATATTTTGTTAATATTTAAAAGTTTAATGTAAAGATTTGTTGGGATGAAATTAATGATATTAGAATTACAAAATTAAAAAGATATTTTATAAAATTAAGGGACTAAAATAAAATTTTATGTAAAATTAAATGACTAAATGTATAATTTAACCTATCACAAAATAACTTTAAAATTTTGAAATTTTACTACATGATACATATTTGAAAATAAGATTTTGAAGAAGAGATTTAAATGCCCCTAAGATTTCATGGATACATAAACAAACATTCATCTAAATTTTGATAAGTAACCATACTCAATCAACAACAATTTTTTTTGAAATAAACAAGTTGCAAAAATTGATAATACATGTTTAATTATATAAGTATTGGTCTTGCATAAATGGACTTGGCTTTTGTCTCCTTTTGCTCTATCAACTTCTCATCTCAACTCTTTGATCTAGTTTTAAATGGTTAAGATTTAATGTTTTAAAAAAATATTATTAAAATGTAAAAATTTATGATAAATAAATAAATAAATAAATTTAAAATATAACTAATTTCATCTAAACTACAATTCATATTTAAGATTATAATTAAAAAATAAAAAATTAATTTTATGAAATGCTTAATTTTAACTATTTAAAAATGGATTCAAGTTGGGAAGTGGAAAGAGGAAAAATGAAGAGAAGCCAAGTTTAATAAAAACAAATACCTATTCAAATTTTGATAAGTAATCTTATATGATTAAGAATAACTCATTCAAGATTAACAAATGACTATAATTGATAGCACATGATTAATTATACATTTTGGTCCTACATAAACAATTATTCATTGGAGTTTTAATAAGTAATCATATGTAATTAACCATAATTTATTCAAAATAAACAACTAAACATAACTGATAGTACATATTCAATCGTACAAATGTTGATTCTATGTAAATAAATATCCATTCAAATTTTGATAACTAACTGTACATAAATGAACAAGCCATTAAGATATTATACTTTATTAAACTTTAGAAGCAATTATGTCTTTTCTCATAAAACCTTGTTTTCATATAAATATCTAGAAAATGCAGTGAAATTTCATATCTTTAAGGCCATTCTTTGATGTAAAAACTCTCCAAAAATCCTTAAATAATACTCCTTCCGACTCATTTATATGACATGTTTTAAAAAATTTATTTAATTCTATTTATAAGTTATAATATAGCTTTTTAAATAATATTTAAAAAGTATTTTAAAATTATCCTTTACAAGAGGAAAAAAAAAAGTAACATGAAATCATTTTTTAAATTTATTATATAGAGATATATTTAAATTTTTATACATATTTATTTTTTATAATAGTATTAATAAAATTAATAGAAATGATTTTATAAAGAGGAGGGGGGAATTTTTTTTTCATAATAATATGTAAATCAATAATGCAAAAGACGGAACATGAATCTTGCCTTAAAATGGAAGTGAATTCCACTAAAAAATATACGCATACAATTAATCCACTCCAAAATTATTTCAAATGTATAATTTAATTATGTTTCAAATTTTTTTCGGCCGATCACAATGTGATTTTTTTGGGGGGTTTGAATTGAAAGGATGATCGCAGGTTTCTGTGTTCTGTTCTGTTATATAACTTGTGACTTTTTAATGTTCACTTTAATATTAAAAAAAAAAGGAAAAACAAATTTCAAAGAATGTTTTGTTTGTGCCGCGAAAGCCAGAGGCTAAAACCCTCCCGATAACGGAAATTTTTGTGGAAAGTTCTCAATCCCGCAGGTTGCTCTACAGATCAAATTCACCGAGAAAGGCATATCAATTCAAATGTGGATTTAGATTGGGAATCCAAACTGCTCTTTCCCTGTTTGCAAAATTTCTCGTGGCATTCCTTTCAAGTTCTTCCCCTTCATGTGGGATCTGTGTTCTTGCGACCTGGCGCTGAGCCTCTGTGACGGTGCGGACTTCTCAAGGCCCCTTCTTTAGACGATTTTTCAGCTTATTCAAAATCACAGGATTTTATTAAATTGCGTTTTCATTTAGAATTCTGCTTGCTCGTTCATCTCGTCATCCGCAAACCCTAACTTGCTATATTCTGAGGCTTGTTCTCACTAGGTATGCCTGGACTCGAATGGGTTGTGCATTTGTAGATTTTTGCTTTTCCTGGTTGATCGATGGGTGCCATAACTAGCAATCGTAAGCGCTCTGAAGAATGCCTGAGCTTCAATAACGCGTATTCATCCCCTAACTCCTCAGATTTTCGTAAACCCAAAAGACTCAAATTCTTGTCCATGCTCCAGAACCCCACCCAGTCCATAGTATCCTGGAAAAGTGTGGTTTCAAGAATTCCCCTGTACCCTGAAGCTAAGACACCATCCACCAGAGCTGTACTCGGTCCGTGTCCACGTAAAATCCCGTTAAGTAGTTCAAATAAAGCTTTGAAGTGCAGGACTAGTGAGCTTCAGGAGAGTGACAACAAGATGGGCAATATATTTGACAAATATGCAGAAGCAAAAAACAGCGCACTAAGATCATTCCGGTATGTGGAGAAGGGGAAAGAGGTAATAGAAGTGGATACTGATAGTCGAAAGGGTGATGTTTCGGAAGATTCAAGCATAGAAGAGGTTGAGATTACAGAAGATGGGCGCGAAGGGCGCTCAGTGGTAACGGACCAGAGGAGGCAAGGTAGTGCTGGGCATGTGATTGAGATACAGGATTCGGAAACTAAGGTGGGAATTGGTGGTCTTCGGCAGCAGTCAACTTCCTCAGTGTTTTCAGAGTTGAATAATAGTAATTTGAAGGTGGATGATGCTGGGAAGTTTTTGGGATCCTTATATTTAAGTCCAGAGCGTGGTGTTCCTGATGTTATTGCATACAAAAGGTTGCTTGAGGAGACAAACAGGCGGACAAACAGATTAAAATTGTTGGACTATGAAATCCAACTAAATGAGAAACGCAGGTCGCCAATTGAATCTTTAAGTCCAGAGAAGAGACCAGAACAGGTTAATGGCTTTGCACTTGCCTACGTTCAATATAGGGCTGTTGAGTCCTTAATTGTTGATTAATAGTGTGTTGTTCTGTTCTGTTCTATTTCATTTAAATTTTGTTCTGTTCCTTTTGTTTCATGACAAATGCATAGCAATGCATTCATTAATTAATGAAAAGCAGTCTAAATGTTAGTGCAAGTTACTCATGCCTTGTTATGGCTTTCAGGAATTACCACATGAGCCTTTTGTTCCTCTCACACAAGAGGAAGAAAAACAAGTTGATGGGGCCTTTTCTGCAAACAGGTAAAGTTTGATAATTAGCTTACATGCTTCTGAATCAAATAGATGTAGTTGTGTACATTGCTGTTGAATGCTTGCTTCAACAGGAAGAAAGTCTTGGTTGCTCATCAAAATTCGAACATTGAGATAACTGGAGAACTTCTCAGGTGCCTCAAACCTGGTGCATGGTTAAATGATGAGGTGATCTTTGCTTGTTAAATATTTATTGCTTAACTTTTCCTGACGCATTGATTTGTCATCCCATTATGTCAAGAACTCATGGCTTGAGACAGGTGTTTCTTGAAGCTTACTGATCCTTTATCTTATGTTTGCAGGTGATCAATCTGTACCTTGAGTTGCTAAAAGAAAGGGAAAAAAGAGAACCAAAGAAATATCTGAAATGTCATTTTTTCAATACCTTTTTCTACAAAAAGGTTGGTCTCTTGCTTTTACCATCCTTTCCAACTGCTTAACATACATAAACCACAAGCACACGTCCATTGAGCTTCTTAAATTTTCTGAATTATTCTGATATCAGGACTTTATTAGGTTCAACATGTTTTAAGGAAACTATTTTCTAACGAACATGTCTTGAAAGACATTGGAAAATAATAGATTGCAGAATTTTTAAGTTTTAACTTTGGTGTGAAGAAATGTTCCACCATAGGATTATCTACATCTTTGGGAGGAAGCCATTCACCTTATCTTAAGTGATCATGTTCCATTCCTCAGGAACTAAGCCACTGACTCTTGTATTAAATAAATAATAATAATTTATTGTACTGTTAGTTGCATGATTGCTCAAATGACACATGCAACACGCACACACAACAGTTACATTGCCTCCTAAGTCTTAATTGACTGTGTATCTATCATAATAAACTCAACAGTCATTTTTGTAAATTCTATTATTACTACATCTGATTTCACCTTAATAGTCAATTTAATGTTGACATGATTGTACCCACATTTGATTTTGCTTTTAAATCTTAGCTTTTCTTTAACGTGGTTGGATAGAAGGCTGGGCAAGTGCTCTATAATCCAAAATTTGTTTTATCTCCTGTTGTTTTTGATTGACGAATTTTACCTTGTTGTTTATGAGCTTTCTTATGTTTGGTTTACATTAATCTTCTTGTCTTGAGCCACTTGATACCTCACCCAAGCTATAAAGGGGAAGTAGAAACATTGTTAGTGCAATAGGTGTTTGTGTATATTTTATATTATTTATTATGGTCAGATGCTGATGCTTTTAAGTTTGGATGTTATTGGTCAGCTAATAGGTGGCAAGAGTGGTTATGATTTCAAATCTGTGAGAAGGTGGACCACGCAAAGGAAGTTGGGATATAGCCTAATTGAATGTGATAAAGTAAATACACTGACTATCAGTTCCTTTCACTATAATCAATTAAATTGGGTTTCAACTTTTTATATCTTTTAACTTCGCAGATATTTGTGCCAATCCATAAAGAGATTCATTGGTGCTTGGCTGTCATCAATAAGAAAGATAAGAAATTCCAGTATCTTGACTCGCTGAGAGGAATGGATAGCCAAGTCTTGAAAGTGCTGGTAAAGTTCTTTGTCTGTATCAAATGAAGTGTGTGATAAGTTCTTGGAGGAAACGTGTTTAAACTACTTATAATAATAAATTTCATTTTGCTTTCTTTTCAAGACATGGCTTTTCTTTTAATATTTTTCTCTTTTTAATAATTGAAAACATAGTTCTGAAGTCTGCTTGGAGTTAGGTAGGGCTTTGGCTAATCAATATCCCTATAGTTGGTCTTGTACTAAGGTCTGTTCAATTTCCATACTAGCATGAAGAATTTCATTGTGATTTGTCAATCTGGTTCTTGAAACATGCTCATTTCTGACGCGTGACATTCAGCTTGATGTGTTTATGATTTTTTGGTTCATTCATGAAGCCAAGTATTTTAAACTGATGAGGATGAAAGATAATAGATGTGTTTATACTGCGTCAATTCCCTAATGAGCAATATAATCAGACAGATTTGGATATTAGACAATTGAATCTTGTCAGAAAAGGAAACAGGACAGATCAAATATGATAGAATAGATAGAGTGAATGAGGCTATAATCAGGGGATGAAAAGGAAAAGAATTGGGGACACGAAAAAATTGTAAATCATAACGCATTGAATTGAAGTTTTTGTTAAAATGTTTAGATGCTTGTATTTCATTTTTGAATTTGAAATTTTAATTTTGAGATTCAGATGGCTGAATTATACAGATTATTTTTGATATATTTTATTTCTTAAAAATGTACATGCCCCTAGTAATTACAATTTCTTCATATCTTCAAATATAGCTTTATTCTTAAATAATTGAAGGTTTAAATGTTTAATTATATGTTACATTAAACTGCGCCTTACTTTACATGGTGATTTTAATTGGTCTTGTTGATTTTCAAGTCTTGTCTTGCTTATGCGTGGCCTGTGCTTTTACTGGGTATGGACCTATATCCTTGACATGCCTTGAAGAGCCTTTGGTGCTTGTGGGCCCTGAACTGATTAAAATGCTAGAGCCGGCACCATGACTAGCATCATGTTTCCCTGGTCATATTAGAGACGGACGTTTTAAAATTTTGAAATTCCTATTTTGTTGTCACTTTCATCATTACATAAAGATTTTGAGTAATTATCTCTTTTTTCTATATGGAGTAATTGAAAGGGAAGTTGAGTAAAGATATTTTCATTTGCACTTGGATGCTGCAATGTTTTTCTAATGTTTGTTATTGATGTCGCAGGCAAGATATTTTGTAGATGAAGTGAAGGACAAAAATGGAACAGATGTTGATGTAAGTTCTTGGGAAAGAGAATTCGTTGAGGACCTGCCTGAGCAAGAGAATGGGTATACATATATTTTCACTCTAAATCTTCGAAAAAATGAGCAAGGATTCTGCATTAGGAAATAATTTGTAATTTTTCAAAAGCATATCCTTATAAAAATTTAAAAAAAGAGCTAAAAGTATATGCTCTTTTATCGGAAGCAAAGCTATACATTCCTCTAAGTAAATCGTCCGTAAGCATATACATTATTTGTACACAGTCCAAACTTCTTTCTTAGTTTAAAGAATAATTTGTAGCAGGAAAAAAATTCCTAAAATTGAAATTTATGACATAAGCATAGAACTGTAGATTGCATTTAGAGAAATGAGGATATTTATGAATGGGAGAAGTTTGAAAACAGGAGAGAAATTTCCTTTTTGAGCGGGCCACATGGATGTTGTCATAGTATTTTTGTGATTATTGGCCTAGGTTTGTACTTACATGAAGTTCCACTCATATTTGTTTGCTTGTCTCTGAGATATGATTTGGACTCAATTTATATCCTGGAGCTCAGTTTATGGAGCCTTAGTTTTGCTTTCTCGTTGGTAATGCCATGATGTTCATAGTGATAAATGCATGCCATTTAACCAATTCGGTTTTTGGTTGCCGCAATTCAATAGCTCAGAAGTGCTCTAGAAAAATTGTTTATAACAATTGGTTATGCGCAAGTTATCTTCTTCGCTCCAATGTATCTAAGCCTTTGGAATTTGTTGCGGCTTTGAATGGTTTAAGTTAGCAGCAGTTTGAGTGAATTATATTTTTAATTGGAAGATTTTAATTGAAATTTTGAATAGGTTCGATTGTGGGATGTTTATGATCAAATATGCCGACTTTTATAGCAGGGGCCTGGGGCTTTGTTTCAACCAGGTAAGAAAATGAAGCATTCAATTTCTGCGAGGAAGGTTATGATGTGTTTTCTAAATATTTTCCCTGTGATGAAAGCTTCCCTTTTCAAGTCAATTATTTTGGCAACCATTCACTGCTGTTCTATCTTTAAATTTTTAATGGTTGCAAGAATATTTGAAGGCAAAAAAATATTTGAGCCTAAACAAACCGAGGGAGTTTTTTTTTTTTTTTTGGGGGGGGGGGGGGACTTCTACTTTCAGTATCATTGTAGAATTGAATTTCTCTCTCTACCATGCTTTGTAGGAACACATGCCTTACTTTCGGCGCAGGACAGCCAAGGAAATATTGAGGTTGAAAGCTGACTGAGCCGAGGACTGCTATGCGATTTAGCAGTAGTCCATTTCTTTGTTCTGCGTTGGTGTTTTGGTATGAAAAAGATTCATGGAGTCATTCATATCAAGCTGCTGGTACATGATGAGAGCTCTTTCCTTCTGTCAATATCTTGACTATGGCCATTCTAGAGCCCTGGCATTCGTTTTGGCATGCTGGTAGTGCAGAATGAGGTAGGTTGTAAATTCTATGAAGAATGAATCATTGGCTGAGGCATTTTTTAAAAAGGGTTGATTTAGAGGTGTGAAGTTAATATCATGTGATAGTTGATCTGCTTTGTAGTCTCTTGCGGTTGGTACCCTCTGCGTTTATAAACTGATTGCTCACTATATTCTACAGAGTTTTGTACTCATGAGAACAAACTGTCAAAAGTTGTGTTGGGGAGCTGGTGAAAATTAAATTAAAATAATATTGAATTAATTTTCTTTTAATTAAAGATAATCTGATTTTACATGATGCCAATATTAGTTAACCATATCATTAAGCCCGTGAACATATTAGTTAATTATTAAAATTATAAAAGATACAAGTAATGTGATTTATGATGCTATCGGATTCTCGTGACATTGAAATAGTCCAGATTGAGCATTTAAAAATCTTGCGTCTCATCTTGTAAATAAGTAAAGGTATTGTATTATTTAACAATGAAATTCTAGTTAAGTTGCCTTAAGATGCTCGGCTCAATGAGTGCAGCAAGCATGCTAAACAAGATTTTAAGTTCTGCTCTCGCGTACTCAGATCTAGTCTCAACTTTTTAAAATTAAATTGCAGTTTAACCACAACATTTATCCATTTTAGATGATTACCTTGAAAAGTAATCCAATTTCAAAATCAGGATGAGACTATGTGTGTTTAGTTTCATGTTGGAAACCATTAAAATATTTTGATAATTTTGATGGAAATAGGTAATTACCTCCACTAAAACACTAGTTTTAGAGTGTTTTAGTGGTTTCTATTGTAAAACACGTACGAATTATGCTCGGTTTCACGTCAATTGATCGTTAACCTACCATTGATTCTTCTGTTGTTATCATTAAGGTAAGGACGACCAGCATGTTAAACAAGAGACAAATATACATTTTAAGTACATTAAATTTGAATGTCACACATAAGATCCATATATATATATATATATATAGAACAAGCAGGTATCCATCGTCACTGAATGTGAGAAATCGAAGTCACTTAACGAGATACTCTCTTTTTACTGAGTATCTCTTGTTCTTTCAGTCGATGATGGAATCTCGCAAGGCGAGCTTGAAGACCTACGAGACTTGCTGCTTTGCGAGAAAGCACAAAACTCAATTGAGTGACGTAGTTGTCAATACGGCTTCCTGGCTGGTCAACTTCTGCCAAGAGTTTCATTTCCTGAAAACCAAGAGCAACGTCAATAATATGAGCATCACCGACATCTTCTCAAGCATAACATTTCCAGAACTCACGATGCTAACATTTAAAAAAAAAAAAAAAATACTCACTTCACGAACAATCTCCATTGTGTCCTCAATTTCTTTCCTATGAGCAGCAATTAGTGCTTCTTCCTCCTGCCAAAAAACCAGCAAATGTATTAAACAGGAAGGATAATCAAGATTTACATTCAACTTAATGCTGTTAAGCACTCTGACATGTTTGCAAACCTCCAGTATTGCATTGATATTTCCATCAGGAGGGGATTCTTCTTCGTATTGCTGCCTGGTGGCAGTGGTGATTGTCTTATAGTTCCCCGTGGCGGAGGAGTCAGATCCATTGGCATCCTTTTTAGGTAAGTTCGGATATCTTTCTGACCTCTCCTCCTTAGACCCTTTTCTTCGTGGAGGAGAGACTTTTTGCACTTTCTCATCTGACTCAGCTGAATTTTGGGAGTATGGGTTCATCTTTTGACTGGTATGGTCACTGTAAGAATTCTTCGCCTCAAATCTCTCCTTGTCTATTAAAGCAGAAGTTGAACTCTTTCCCTCTGGACCATTTACTAAGTAACTTGATGAAAAACTTAGTGGGTGTTTGTCAACATCAGCAGCAGACTTGTGCCCAGAAGTTTCCTTTTCTGCAAATCTTTTACCCATATCCATTGTTTTCGCCTCCTGACGTTGCTCATTAACATCCTCTGCACTGGCACTCGCTAGAAGGGATGATGCAGAAGAAACTTCCTTGTTAGTTTGCGATACTGAATTTAGGGTTTGATCCTTTCTAGAGTTTCCGCTTTTGGATAGACTTTTAACCCTGTTCATATTGTAAAAACCTATCAGTTAATATATACATCAATCTGTAAAGAGAAGGGGATGCCTCGTTATGAAATATAATCTATTGTTAAGCTCATTACAGTGGAACACATACCGATCTGCATATCTCAAGGTATTAAGAGTGTGTTCACATGAGGAAGCATTTGGAGATATACAAGATATCATTACTGTCTTCGAATTGCCGACAAAGGAGTCACGCAGCACTTCTGTAAGTTTGCTTCCACGAAATGGTATATGGATCTGGTCATTGTCAAGAGCACGAATGCATTCTTTCAGCGCCAAAAGACTCTTGTTAATCTCTGCCCCTTCAATTCTGCAGTAGAGATAAATCAAGTTGTAAAATGAAGTTATGGACTATTGTTTCACCCATTAACAAAATAATTAACCTATTAAGGCATTAGGAATTGATTACTTGTATTACAGTGGACAAAAAGTAGACGGGTATAGGCATCTTTGATTAGCTATTCTGCTGTATATAGAGATTAAGGATTCAATGTTACATACACTATCATTGAGGCTACTTATTATTTCCAGGTATATGGCATTAATTACATCAAAATTAAATACTAATTTAAGGGGAAAAAAAAAGACAAGAAAATTCACCAGTCTTTTTACTAAATTTAGAGTAATGGAGAATTGTGAATAATAGTTTGCACAATTTATTATTCTTAAATCTACTTAGTGTTGAGAAACAGAAAACAGAACATCCAAATTAAGAAGACAGGGAACACCAAAAATAAATACTAGTTTTCTTTTCAGCCACCTCAAGATTCAATTCCATCATTCTAAGTAGATTGAAGTAGCTAATAAGAAAAGCTTTTAGGAGATTTGCATTCATCTGCTTCATATTGCAAAACGCTTTCTCTTGGATTTCCAAACTTAATCCAAGGCAGACCAATTTGCAGTTTCCTGCTTTGCCAAAAGTCCTAACCCATCAAATTAATATGCCTAGTTGGATGTCTAGGTGCAGCAGCTTTTAGTTATCATAAAACCATTCCTCAAGAAGTATCATCATCATCATCATTGATAATACGAACAGAAATTTAATTTTATACACACACACACACACACACACACACAAATACCTAGAAATAATAAGTAGCAACAGCAATCAGAACAATTAGTTGGTGCCATTTAGCTTGCCGTAGAATGGTTTGTGTTCCCCATTGTTCTCAATTTTTTTTTAAAAGAAGAAAAAAGAAAAGAAAAGGGAGGTTGTATCAAATCATCAGGGAAAACATCCAGCAAACTGTGCTCCCAAAGATTCAGATCACGCAGAAAAATGTTCTAAATGAATGAGTCATGAGTGGTGCTTTATAAAATTCTTAAAATGTGTGACATTCTAGAAGGCACCATGCAAGCAGTTAACTGGGAAGGGATGTAAACCTTAACCAGAGAATTTAATCTAAATGCATATATAAGTACCGTGTCTGACGGTCATTGTCAGTGGTATCAGCACCTCTTTCGCTCCCAGCAAGATCAATAAAAGAAATCTTCCCCACAACCTTCCCACTTTTTGCCTCATTAACATCATTGTTTCGCTTGCTCTCTTTCACCTCACTGTGTTTCTTCACAGCCAATTGTAAAATAGCATGTGACCTAGAGGATTCCTCATTAGCACCAGTTGATCCAGTACTCCTTGCAGCATTCCCCTTCTCAATGAACTCTTTGACAATTTGTACATCAGAAACCTCAAATTCTTGCAGCCCCACTATGCAAACTTGTTGCCGTCCATCTTCCCTCATGCAAAGTTTCCTATTCATAGATTACCAAACACAGCCACTCAAAACCACAACAACAGCACCAGTAGCAAGCACAAGAAGTATGTTGGTACATAATATAGAAAGATGACATCTGAAATGCATATCAATAGGCACAGATATATCTACACTCCAATACAACCAAATGTAACAAAAGAAAAACATGCTTTATGTAGGATGAAATAAAGAAGTTCATCTAGATATTAGAACACACTTCAATAAATCAACACCTTGATGCAAACATAATGCCATCTTCTGATGAGTATCTATAAAATATAATAAAGTCACACCAAAAAAAAAAAAACAAAACAAAACAAAAGAAAATCTAATGCTAAAAGACAGATTGTGATGCAACAAGGTCATCATACAAGTAGACTGTAAATTTAACCTAATACACCAAGTGAATTGCTAACAAAGGTCAAATAAGAACAAAGATATAAGAACTTGATAGAAATACTCACTTCCTGTCACTGAGAAGATCAAAGAGTTTTCCACCATATATCTCAAAGTAGCTAAGCCACAATTTGAATCTTTGATTTCGGTAGATTGGCTTATGCAATAGCCTGACAAGGTCTTCTGCAGCCCTGAGAGGCAATGGTTGCATTGTGAAAGTTTTACCACTTCCTAAAGACAAAATATCATTAGCATTGCAGTTATAAATGTGGGTGATGGGGTAGCTAAATGAGGAACAGGTGTAGCTACAAACAACTAATATGGTACCCACAATAACAAATTTTTCATCACAGGAAGAGGCAGTGTTGTCCAATGAAATAAGTTTAACACATTTGATATCTTCCACTATTAGTGCAATTGCATTCACGTTGGAATTATCGTCTGAGTTCTAAGGCTAAAGCCCACGGCCGCTGGTAGCCTAATCTCTCAACATGTTAGGTATATTATTATAATTATAAAATAAATTAGCCCCACAAGTTACATGCTGGCTGAGAATAACATCAGACAGTGAAAAAACAATAATAGTCGGAAACATAGATCCCTTTCATAATCTATTGGAGCTCAAATAAAATGTTAAGCCATAGAATGAGATCCAAAAACACGCCGCTAAAACAAAACTATACAACAAATCCAGAGTGCACTGTAAAGAAAAATGTGCTGAAATACAAAATAAGAAATCATTGATAACTTGGTATATGTATGATCCGAACAGGAAATAGGTATTTCCTTACCTGTCTGACCATATGCAAAACATGTAGCTTTGGTTCGCTCAAAAATTGTGGGAATAATTGGTTCTACTGTAACTTGGTATACCTGCAATGGGAGAGAGGGAGAATAGGTATCATAGCTTTTATCAAACAAGACAAGACTGAGATATACAAATGAACAAAAAACCTTATGTTTGAAAAGAGTTGCTTTACCTCATCATTGGTAACTTGCTCATCAAGAACAGCATCAAAACAAAACTCATGCTTCTCCACATACGCCGTCAAATCAACCTTTTATGATAGAATAATCAAATAATTGGGGAAAAATCCAAAACAAAAGTAGAGTCATCCTTTGAATTAAATATATCTAAATGGTAACTGCAGCACTTAAGAACAATATATAAAACAAACCTTTAGTTTGGGTTCATGGACAGTCAAACATGCTTGGTCATTTACGGTCACAATATCTTCCTCCTTCTTAGCAAGCTCTTTCTTGTTTAAAGGTCTTTTTCGTACCTATGGCATTCAATATAAACATTTTTAAAATTATTTTAAAGAACTGTGAATGAAAATAACCCTGAAACATTTATGATTCAATAATCACAATTTAACAAGGTACGTAAAACCAGACCGATCATTGAACCGGTCATGGTAATGGGCCACGGGTTAGTGGCTCAATCAAGGTTGAATCGGGGGTTGAACTGGTGACAAATCAATCATGATTAAAATAATACAACAACAACAACAACAACAAGCCTTTATCCCACTAGGTGGGGTCGGCTACATGGATTGCAAGACGCCATTGTGCTCTATCATTTATTAAGCTTTTAGAAATATTATTAATTAAGAGATCACGTTCAACAACTTCCAAGAGTGTTCTCTTAGGCCTTCCTCTACCTCTCTTAATCGGACTCAAAGTTATATGTTCCACTCTTCTCACTGGTGCCTCCCTTGGTCTTCTTTGTACATGCCCAAACCATCTCAACCGATTTTCTACCATTTTTTCCTCAATAGGTGCCACCCTCACTTTTTCACGTATGTGCTCATTTCGAATTTTATCTTTACGTGTATGTCCGCACATCCATCGTAACATTCTCATCTCTGCTACTCCAACTTTATGCTCTTGCTGTCCCGTTAGAGCCCAGCATTCACTACTATATAACATTGCCGGTCTGATAGCAGTACGATAAAACTTTCCTTTAAGTTTATTAGGCACCTTACGGTCACAAATAACTCCTTTAGCTTTCTCCAATTAAACCACCCAGCTTGAATTCTATGTGAAATATCTCCACTGATTTCGCCATCATTTTGGATAATGGCTCCCAAATATCTAAACTTTTCCACTTGAGGTATAATTTGATCTCCCAATTTCACTTCCAAATTATTTTCGAATAGTCCTTTATCAAATTTACAATATAAATATTCCGTCTTACTTCTACTCAGACGAAAACCTTTCGACTCCAATGTCCTCCTCCATAACTCAAGTTTGCAATTAACCTCTTCTCTTGTCTCTGCTATAAGAACTATATCATCCGCGAAGAGCATACATTTCGGGATTTCCTCTTGAATATGTTCCATCAAAGCATGATTAAAATAATACAATTTAAATAAAAGACATTAATTATAAAAACATTCAACCAAATCCAACCATTCAAAAGTCTAACAATAATAAAATACAGCACTTTAAATATTTATCCTTACAGTTACAACCCTTCAATCTCAAAAGTCTAGAGAAGAGATGGAGACAGGGCTGGAGAAGAGACGGAGATTGAGCTGGAAAAGAGACAGAGATAGAGCTGGAGAAGAGACAGAGAGTCAGAGACTAAGCTAGAGAAGAGACGGAGATAAAACTGGAGCTTGGAGAAGAGACGGAGATTGAGCTAGAGAAGAGATGCCGATTAGGTTAGGGCGAGAGAAGAAAGACACAGACGAAAGGCCAAACTGAATGCTGTCTGAAAATTTGAATTGGACTTAGCGTGCTCTGCCTCTAATTTTTCATTGTTTGACTTCAGTTTCACTTTTTTTTTCTTGTTATCTTATTTCTCAACTCAGCACTCTGAAAAATCAAAAATGAAAAAAAAATCCCTCAAAATGACGTTGTTTTAAGGTTTTTGTCCGAAAAAATAATAACCCAATTAACCCAGTCAACCCACAGGGTTATCCGAGTTACACCAGGTTGAATCTGGGTTGACCGGGTTACACCGGTTCATTCCCTCACCAGTTTAGGAGTAAACCCAGACCGGACAAGGGACCAGGTCATTGGTTTTTGAGTTGACCCGGCCAACCTGTCTGGGTTTCAATACCATGCAATTTAATACTTTAATTCAAGAATGGCATAATGAAAATCCTTCTATGAATTACCATGTAAATTGTATTATCGAATATGCATTGTCTTTGTCAGTTTCTCACATATATCATGCCTTATTCTAACCATATACCCCACAATATATACCTCACACCTCAAACCTCACACCTCACAATCCATTAGTCAGTGACAAGCTCAGCACATTAGTGGCAGGCCCATCATTTTCCAGCCATCAAAGTTTCACCTTGCTCTCAAAGTAAGAATTAGACATGGGAACTGGTGGCTTCATGACAACTAGTCCCAAAGTGTGATCTAACCAAAAAGGCAGGACAATTGAGTCAATGATAGCAGAGATAGGAAGACACTCCAATAATGTTAATATTTCCATGGACAATGGTGCTAGGAACAACCATGGTGTGAATAGGCTTATGCTTGTAGTCAGCTTGACACTTGTTCATGCATATAAAATTGTAAACAATGATTTATCCATGAACTACAGCAGTCACAAAGCAATGCAGATGCTGATATAAATGGTCAAGAAGCTGCAAAGCAATGCCTTGAAGCACAGATAGAGCTAACTTGAATGCTAGTCCACAGGAATCAACATGAGCAACACCATTTGTCAAGACAACCAAAAGATTCCCTACTCAATTTCCAACCAAAGAAAAACATTTTTAGTATAGATCTTTTTTCCAAAGCAGATACATTTCAGGCCTTGACATCTTCCTCCATCCCCATATTTAGATGCTAAGAGTAACAATGCGCAATGCTGATAGGTGTGATTGCAGAAATGACAAGATAAAATTGCAAAATCTCAATCGTTTGCATCTATGAAGGAGTGAATCGCTTCAGGTCAGCATCTTCCTATTCCAGTGCCTTAATCCCATCCAGCAATTTACAAGATCATCCCACTGCTTTATTTTGCAATCAAACAGTCTCTAGCAACTTCTCCTTCATTTTCTGAACTCTTCTCCCATTCGAGCCCCAATATATTATATCCTTTTCTGGTAACAGTTCTCTCCAAGTTCTCACTGAACATCCTCATTTGGCCGTTTCTTTCTCAGATTGTCACCACTCTAATACTAAATGATGGAAAGAAGAATTATTTTAAGGTCCCACACAACACATCTAATACCACAAGGTTTACTGACAACCTATTTGTCATTTTCCTTTGCTAAGTTGTCAATAAACCTTGTGGTATTTGAATAAATGGTATGGAATTTGTATGTAATTTGCCCATGATAGAACTCTACTCCAAATAGTATTCAAATTAATAATAATCTAGCAAAGTGTAAGTTTAACCAAAGGACTATAATTCTAGAAAAGAAAATAGAATGTAGAAACTCCTAGCTATTCAAGAGGTTAGACCCTCTCAACAAACTCACATATTCCATGCCTCATTCTAACCACAAACCCTGCAATAATATACCTCACTTCCTCTTTTGCACTCACATCTCATACCTTGCAGCCCATAGGTCACTTCCAAGCTTGGTCCATTAGTTGTTAATTAAAAATAATAGGCTTGGCAAAAATGAGTTCCCTAGTTATCACATTTCCAAAGAAGACAAAATGAGATTATATTTCCAATGAACTCCTAAAGATACCAAGCGAGAGAAGGGGACGGAGATAGAAGCAGTTCAAATGTTTCAAACAAGAAGGACAAGAAACAAATGACAGTGAACAGAACAGAAAAGGGCCCAATTCATACTTAATTTCAATTCATATCAGTCACATCTCAGCATAGTAAAAAATGAAATTTTTCACCACAAATAAAGGCATGCATGTATATAGAAATTACTTGAGCCTCAACATACCACGACTTTAATCTTAGCAACATTATTTTCCCTTGCATTATTCTCTTTTTCCTTCATTGGTAAAGGAATTGACATATCTGCTTCTCCATCTTGATTGCTATTTATTTGATTGAAGTCATCCTCAAATACTCTAGCATCTCCAGGCAAGAATGGCGATGGCTCAAAAGGTTCTGAAATAACATGCTGATAAGAAGAAAGCAATCAGAGCCAATACAACAAAATAAAGCACAGGTTCTTGCATTCCTCTATACTTAAGCAAGAGATTCATGCCAAATGCAAGGGATCAATGAAAACAAACATACAACAACTGGAGAAAAAAAAAAAAACACACACACACACACAGAGCAGTAAACCAGAGAGTGACATAAGGCAGCAAGTACAGACATTCAACCCACGATTACTGTCTAATTAGCTGCTGCTATCTTTGAGTTTCTTGCTTAATTAGATTCAAGTAAACAGCCCAGCATCAAATAATAATCATACCTCAGATAAAAGTTCTGTATCATCCATAGCATGAAGATCCAAAAGCCCTGCTCCAAAATCCCCCCGGAAATCAGGAGAACAAGACCCATCTGGTATTGCCACACTGCCTAAAGTTTGGGCAGTTGGTGTATATGGCTCCACACCAGATTCTCCATTAAAATTGAGGCTTCTCATTAACTTAAAAATCCTCTGCTTTTCTTCAGCAGACTGTGCTCCATAACCCTATGAAATTATCATGTTCATCTAAGTCTTGTCATAGGCCACAGTTTCATGGGAAGAAAATTGGCATTTTCAAACCCAATTGCACTCAATGTAAACGAGAAAACCAAAATACTGCACACGATATCACCGAAAATGTGAGACTGCCAAAACTTAAAAGTGTGATATAAGCAAGTGCTTCAAAATTTTAACTTAACATATCCTAGGCTTGATACACATTATGCTACACAGCATCTACTAAACAACCTTTCTCTGGCAAAGTTTCACCATAAAATTCAAAATATATCAATCCCCAGAGGATACAGAATGAAAGAAAAAGGACAGAGATACAACCTGGCCTGCTAACAGATACAGTAGCAGAATATACTCCTAATCACTAAACCAGCATGTTAGATGCAGCTTGAAATCCTTCCATAAATTGAATTAACAGAAGAAAGAAAATGAGGGTTGCTGAGGGAACTATAGGTGCCCATGCGACCACCTCAACTTCCAGAAGATCTTACACAAATCTTCAAGTGAATAAGTTATCATGTGACCAGTAACGCAACAAACAAGCCGAGAAATTACAAGAGAAGAACAGACAACCACCAGAGATTATTGGACGGTACCTGCATGAGAATGTTGGGAAGGAGGCGATGATCAATACCAGTAGAAGCCAATGGAGAGGCCAGATGCTGCAAGCCAGCAGACTGTAACCAACGCGCCATTACGGCATCACCAGCATCACTGGCAGGCGCTGCATTGTGCAGAGACCCGCCGCCGGCGTGGTCGTACAGGGCAGTGGCCGCAGCATTAGTCTGCTGCATCTGGCCGCCCAAGTGGCGCTGGGAACGTCTTTGGGGAGCCAATTTTTAAGATCTACGTACACACGCTTCAAAAAAAAACATATATCAAACGACCTAAAAATCAGAAGAAAGGGAAAAACAAAATCCAGATCACATTAAAAGCTAAAAAGAGAAATAGATCCAAAACCAAGGATCCAAAACAAGATACTCACAATGAGGAGAGAATTCGAATTCGAAGAAGAACATAACAAGTCGAACGACAGAATCCAAATCCACGAAATCTACAATCGAACCAAAAAAAAGTATCAGAATTCCACATAAGCTAGATAAACACACAAGAAAAATGATGAATTCAGTCCAAATTGTCTCATAAAGAAGCGCACCCGACGTCTGCACGAATTGCAATAATTGAAAATGCTGAATTGGGATCAGATCTGAAACTGCCGGAGGGGGACAAAGAAAATCCGAAATCGATTGTATAGCTGAGCAAGAAGAGCGTTCTTCGAGTTTCTATTCTAGTGAAGAAAATGGCGATGGCGAGGATGGCAGATGATCCACGACACACAGGCAGAGCGAGGATGCCTTCAACAACAATATAGATGAGATACTTCGTAAAAAATCCAAAGTATCTATCGTTGGAAACTTGGCAGATAATATAATTTTTAAAATTATTAAACGGCTATGTTTGATGTGAAAGATTGTAATTTTCAAAATTTTTAAGTGACAAATGAAACTTTTTTCCAATTTTGTCATTGTTATGATAAAAATTTTTATTCAACACTTAGGACTTGTGCTAATGTTTTCTAAAGTTTTTTGGCCTGACTAATGTTTTCTAAATTGGTCTTTCTGAATCTACTTAGAAAAATATAATATTTGAATTTTGATTAAAAAGGTAATAGATTATTATTTGAGTGTTGCGAAATTTTTTTTTCTCATGTACTTTATATAACATATAAAATTAATATAATTCATATTTCAAGCTTCATTTTATACAAGAAAAACCTTATCTAAACGCAGATGAAGTTCAAAAACATCTAAAAAATACGGTTATAAAAAAATTAAATTTTAAAAAAATGTTGAAATAAATTCGACTAAACTCAAAGTAATCAAGATTTAACATAATCTTTAGACATCAATGGATTGTCAAAAGAATTAACAGACTATTATATATGCAAAATAAATAAATTCCAAAAATATTACCAGGTAATAAATAAGGTTTGATGTAAAATTTTTGTCAAGTCCTCAATAAAAATCAGATGAATAAGTTCAAAGATAACCATATAAAGTTAAAAAAATAAAAAGAAAATAAAATGAGCCATGATTATAAATATAGGTATATAGTCTTCCCTTAGGTTTCTTTCTTTTTTTTTCCAAGAGTTTTCCCTTAGTTAAAATGCTAGAAGAATAATCCCCTTGTCATTATTAAAACCGAAAAATGTCCGTGACAGCCACTTGAGTTCCTTTCTAAGCAACCACTGATTTATGCCTTTGTGAAGGGTCGAGAGAGAGAGAGAGAGAGAGAGAGAGATTCTGGTTAAAAAAGAAGAAAAAAGAGGGAAGATGAAGAAAGATAAAGACGTATATAGAGAAACTTTTGGCACTTTTTTTTGGGGCTAAAGAGAAATCCTAACGTTGGAGTTCTTGAGGCCGTGATTGATCAAGAAAGTTGCAATGAGGGTTAACATAACATATTGCTTTATGATTTAAATATTTTAAATTCATTTAATCCATTCCGAAAACGTTAAATAAATCATGTAATTAATTTATTCGAGTGGTAAACTAGTGAATGTTAATAAGTATAAATATCAATACGTATAAAATTGAAAAGCACAGAATTCCAGAGCTATTATAAATTATAAACAATTTATTTTGAGTTTTGTACAATTAATATAATAAAAAGAATATAAATATTTTGAAATTTATGTGAATCCAGGAGAGGTTAAATAATCAATTTGTTGTAAGTGATAGAAGCTCTTGTCATTTAAACAAGAAGTTCAAATCTTAATTAGGTAGTAATTTAATTTGAAAAAGTTTACCTCACATTGGCCAATTTGAAAAGGATAATCTTTACTGTCATCAAAATATGTTTTAAGTATATCTCATATAGACCAAAATTATTTTTTATATAAATTTATATATACCAAAAATATGATGTACACATAATAGTGATGATACTGCATCTTATTTTAAGCTGTATGAAGACGACATAGAACTTTGACAAGTCATGATAGAGGTTACCTTTTGTCGATATTATTGTAACAGCTTGACCTTTTTTTTAGCGCAAGAAATTCACAATATCTCAGGCTCTAGGACACCGAGTCTGAGGGCGCAACAATCTACGAATATAACTGTCTACAATACACGTGTAAATAAATGAAACACCCTTCGTCTTCTGTGACCAAACATGCATGCTGTTGCGCATATTGCAGAAGAACCAAAACTTAGCTTCAGGATTTGCAGAGAATTATGGAGAAGACGAGGAAGCCATTGATGATGGTGGCCATTGATGAAAGTGAGCATAGCTTCTACGCATTAGAGTGGGCACTCACCAATTTCTTCCCTTCTCAAATATCCCATTATTTCCAGCTCATGCTTGTTCATGCCAAACCCTCTACCTCTTCTCTTGTTGAGATCAAGGGTATGCGACTTACATTTGTCAAAGTCTATATATTAAGGGTGCTCAAAGATTGTCTAATTCACTGAAATAGCCTAAATCATTAGTTAAATATATCACAAGCTTTATATGTTTCTGATATACTTTTTAATTACTAGATGTGAGATTTCTTTTTTATTATTCACTCTGTTATTATTTCCTTTCTCTCTTTTTGCATGGCTTGTGTACTCTTCAAGTCTAAGAGTGTTTAGGTCCATAATTTTCATTTTTCCCTTTTTAATCTCCTGCTTTTTCTTTCTTCTTCCTTTTGCCTATATTTTTTTTCGGTCATCCTTTTTTCATGTCCCAAATTGAATAGCTTTTGATATCATGTCAAAGTCTTTGTATTTAAAGTATCTGAGGATTGTCCAATTCATCAAAATAAGTTAAACCACATAATCAGATAAATCTCAAGCTTTATATATTCCTAGATCCTAATCTACTTTCTAATTAATAGATGTGAGACTTCTTTCTCTAACGTCATCGTCATCGTCGTTTGTACATGCCAAAACTTTAATGAAATTAAGGATGGCTTCTATTTCAGAATCTGGAAGCAGAGTTTGTATCGATTCTAGGAGAAGATCTTGAGAGTATGGCTGATAAAACAATCCAAAAGGCCAAGGAGATTTGTGGCAGAAAATCAGTAATAACTCTCTTATAACAGTGCCTTTTGTCTTTATAATGTCTGTACTCAAAATGGGATGTGCTTGTTCGTTTGAAAAGATGAGAAGTTATAATTAGCATGAAAGGTTTTACTTCACAGACCGTTTGTTCAGCAGGTGGAGAATGTAATAACAAAAGTGCTGGAGGGGGATGTAAGGAATGTTCTGTGTGAAGCGGCGGATAAATTTGATGCCACCATTCTTGTTTTGGTTAGTCATGGTTATGGTGCTGTCAAAAGGTATATATTAGTTTGATCATTTAGGAACATGAAATATGGATGAGGCTTGAAGAAGTAAACTTACAAAACCTTTCCCATCATACTAGACAGTGAGGTAGCATTCAATTGATACACCTTTTACTATATCAACAACAACAACAAGCCTTTATCCCACTAGGTGGACACCTTTTACTATATCATTAATAAAATATATAATATGATGTAATATTATTTGTAAGTCATGAATAGTATAATTCACTTTTAAAAATTGTACAATGCATGGAAAATTTAAATTATATGGCAATGAAAATTTAAAGAAATTATGCCTCTGTGTATTTTCAGCATTTATACAAAAAGATATGTTGTGACACCTTAAATTATACGTGAATGTTTAAAGTGTCAATCATATCTCCTAACTTATCACTCTAGTTGAAAGGGATTTGAGTTTAGGTTATTGGGTCCACAACAAACGACTAAATCAGCTGAACTAACTGATACTGTAACATTTTTTTTACGAGTTAACAATTGGTGTTGCAGGGTGGTTCTTGGCAGCGTGAGTGATTATTGCGTGCAACATGCGCAATGCTCAGTGATGGTTGTCAAGAGGCCTAAGATAAAGCGAATCTCTTCCTCTTCCCGGCTCCACCGCAATAGTGTACAGTGAAGTAGCGGTCCAAAGTTATTGAGATTGGGCTCTTGTTGTGACCAGGAAAAAAAAAAAAAAGAATGGCTCTCGGCTTTCTAGGACACCCTAGCAATGAAAAGCAGGATGCCCTGTTGCCAACAGTGTCGACAGTTATGTTCAGTAGACACTCCATTCAATCATCAAAGAGTTTTGAGTTCCAGTATCATTCAAAGCATACAGAACGGGGTAACAACAAACAAAGGATTCAACTTGCGCTCAACTTACCTCCGATTTTCATTTTTAACACGGAGAGAATAATGAATTCCCTTGAAGCTGTTAAGGACCATAACATCATGTCCCCCAACATTGCCATCGACAAAATTGTTATTTCTATTTGAGCTCTTTTCAAGTCTTTTAAGTGTTGGATCACATCAAACTTCTAGAAGACTATAAAGTTGCAAAACCGGACTGATTTACTCGAGGAAATCTGTGGGAACAATCTCATTGTTAAATTAACAGTCCAAGAATTGCATGTTCCCCACAGTGAAAGATGGATCAGGATCTTATTGCCCTACAGAAGAACTGAAATTGAAAGCAAGAGATCATTTTGTACTGAAGGAACAGGTCCTGATCTGTGAGTTTATTCTCCGTGTAAGGCTGAGACTAGAAGATCAAGTTAATCATTTCTCATAAGTAAAACCTTTCAAGGACAAATAACTTTTTTAAAAAAGAGAACAATTATAAGAAATTTAACTGGCATTCAAAATTTAGCGGAGTCAAAGCATAAACTGTCCTTCAAATTAAAAGCGTCAGATTGTTCGCTTATAAATAACACACCATTAATCCTGAACACTTCCAGTCACTTGGTACATAATATAAAGAGAAACCAGATAAATAGCGGGCAGAAACCACAGGTTCGAGGGTTGGGGTGCCACTTAGCACTTCACCTCCTTCAAAGCATAAGCAAAGTAAAGAAATGTTGGATCGGTAGCACCATCCTTGTAGTAAGCAAAGACCAAACTACCATCATCGTGCATGCTCTCCCCAACAAAACTGCAGATATTGATAAATCACATCAAATATAATAGCGCAGAAACACACAAAGGCACTTTTAGCATTGGTGGTAGCGAAACTTACAACTGAAGATCACTGAGTTTGGAGAGCAGGAATTTGATGGCTCCTTCAATGTGCTTCTTAAACAGCTCTTGTTTCTCTTCATCTAGTTTGGGTGTCAACAACTTGATATACCTTTTCATGAAGACAAGAAACTGTTTCTTGTCAAAGGCAGGTTGCTCCTGCAAAGATTAGGTAACAAAATACTTACAGTTTGAACTTGGAAGAAAAATACTCAGGATATGAAAAGAGTATTGTTGAACGGTTGCCCTAACCTGAAGTCTAAATGTGTCAACAATGTCAACAACCTTTACAGCTTGGTCATCAACCCCCTCATCTTCTCCTCCACCTTCAGCGGAAGGGTTAGCACCGATATCTACATCTACTGCTCCCTTAACAACCCACTACATCAACCCAAAAGAAAAGGTCCTCAACTTGCCATACACATAAACAATATGTAAACCAACAAACTGAAAAAATGTTTTTAATCTATAGAAAACCAAATGAGTGGATAAACACAAAAAAAATGCAACAAGTGGAGAGAAATTACTAACCTTCCCCTCAACTTCCCACAACATTCCATTCTCAATTTCCTTGTATGAAAACGAGTCCGAGAGAAGCTCATCACCTGCACGATACATGGTCAGAATTGCCATTCCAAATTACATATTTAGTAAATGAGCATAGTCAATTTTCCAACATATGAAAAGAAAAAAATACTCAAGGTTGAAAATATAACATGTAAGTCCTCTATAGTATTTTACATCAAAATGAAAACCTTAGGGAAGACAATTAGCCTATTTGAAACAGCTTTTGGTCCAAAAACAAAAATTTGAACTGTAGTTAGCTTACATGTATAACATTTAAAAACCGCCTTTCAAATATATGCACTAAATGACCAATTAATTCAGTTGATCCAAAGCGTTCAAAACTTTAATTCGCTACTCAATGATAATATTCTTAGTTAACTAGAAAGGCTCGCCACTATATTCTATTCAAAAATTGATTTGCCGACATCAACTATGGAAGATGAATAATTAGTATGGAACAATTATTGACCCCACAAATCAAGGAACTCCAACCAGACGCGGATTGCAGACGCTTGCATAAAACAATGGCCTTCAAATTTAGGGCCGAGGAAAACACTCCAGACAAGATATTTAGTTTACTAATACTAAAAAAAGTTCCCCCGCATTGGTTCTTTGTATATACTGCACTTTACTGCGAACAAATCAAGCCATGGAAAATAATCGATCCGTTGATCTAGAAGTTGTCCCCGAGAGCACAAAATCAAGATCAGCCCAAACAACATATGTAGCCGGACCTTCGATAACATATAGATCCAGATAAAAAAACATCAACGAAGATAGTGATCAAGTAGATCTAAAAGTAGCATACGTAAGAAACTCATCATAACCAAACAGCTATAGAGTGTCTAATACAGAATCAAGCGAAGAATTTACTGCTCAAGAGTGGAAGTATAAAAATATAAAGCAGCTACACCGAAAACGAAAATCACGGATGAGAAAACGGGCGCAAAAAGCAAAATTCACAGATGTTCAAAGAGAAAGTTCAATCAGAAGATTACCAGTGAGGAGATCCTGGTAAACCAACATGATTGAAGACTTTCTCTCAGATCGCTCCAAGCAGAGTTCGAGGGAAAGAGAGGGAAAGGGGGCACGAGAGAGCGAAGAGGGATTGAGAATATGCAGTGCGGCCGAATTTATTTTTCGAGGGCTTCGGATGTTGACCCTCCCACGTTACCGTATCACACTAGGAAAGGTATACATAAATACATCATCATACATGCAGTAAATTTCGACACCGATTTTTTTTCCGCCTCAATTTAGGTATGTTTTATTTGGATTTGAGTTTAAAATTTTATATTTAAAATCATTTATTTGAATAATATTCAAAATGTTGAATTCAAAAATAATGAAAAAGAAAAAGGATTAGAGTAGCTAATATTTTAAATAACTAAAGTGTAGAAGAGATTTACATAAATTTTTATGGATCTAAATAATGGATTTGATTCAAATCTAAACTTAAATTTAAATATCCATACATCCAAATTTATTATAAGAAATTTGGTCCAAAAAAATTAATAATTTTAAGAAAGCAACCAGACCAAATCCAATGTGTCATGCTAGGGAGGGGATAAAACTTTTATACCAAGTGCACTCCTTAAATGTCATTCTAGAGTTCAAATTTTAGAGATGTGTATGGACAGCATCACTTAAAAAAAAAACTTCTTAAATGACCATCAAATTTTTTTGATATTAATTTTATAATTATCAATTATAAGGATATCTTGAGGGGAAAAAAAGCAGCCCTTCCATGATGAACAATAAATGCACAGAAGAGAATGGTTATAACTTTATACAATAAAATATTTTGATCTTTAGTAACTTTTTATCTTTTTTAAAATGATATATTTAACTAATAACTAAACTGTGGGCAATGTTTTGTATGATATTTATAGTAAATCGGATTATTTATGATTTATAATTACATGACTTTCAATATTTATATTATAAAAATACATGATTTAAAATTCAAAATAAAAACTATCATCATACTTGAGCATTTCTTCTATGGAAGCATGAAGTATAATTGAGTTTTCTACCTAAAGAAGGTGCTCTAGTTAAGAGAGACCTTATTTTATTGAGTTTTTTTTTTTTAAAATTAGAAAGATATGCACTAACAACATGATACCATAAGTAGGAAAGAACGTGAGACCTTCCACTTATAAGAAAATTTGCATACTACTAGACTGCAAAAGCGTGAACAGGATTGACCACTAATACAATGTTTGATAAGTAAAAAAGTTTTTTTCTGAAAAGGAAAGGAAAATTTCACCTATAACATTTTCTTACATTTTTCATTTATTTTTTTAAAAAACATTTTTTCATACAGCAAACATGTACTAAATACAAGTATATCTGCTAACGTAAATTCAAACTGAGTCACGTGGGAGCATCTGTTTTTACTAAACCCAACTCCTGTTGGTCAGAAGCCCTTCCAATATAACAAAAGAATTTATAAAATTATATAATATTTACAACTCAAAAAATGTGATTTTCCTCAAGGTCAGTACAATTTGTTTATTTATATTCTTTATTTACATATTTCACTGGATAAAAAACAAATTTCCCTTTAATTTTTTTCTTTCACAAATCTCATTCATCTCAGCAGCGTTTAAATTTAAAAAATAATAATAAGTACAATTTATCAACAATGTCAACAACCTTTAGCCTGGTCATCAACACCCCCATCTTGGATCTTACAAGATCTCAAACAAAAGTACAAGACTCTAGTCAAAATACAAAACAAGACAGACAAACAATCCCCGTTAATTCAAAAACATAATAAAAAAGTTGGAAAAAATTAAATAAAGAATACTTTAATAGCTAACCAAATGCTCTGCGCTTCAACTAAACTAAAACATTCACAAAGGCAAGAGATAGTTTCCCCAATTTAAAAAAAAAAATCATATAATTTAAATTACAAGAGCTATGACCTACACTAAACTGATAACTATAATAATCATGACAAAATTAGAATGGAATGCGAGCCATTCCTATCTTAGAGTACGTGAGCTGCATAGGATTATTCTTATTCATATCCAGGCCTTGTAAGGATAAGAAAACGTTTAATATGGTCTAAATTTCCTTGCAGCTCTCAACTGCTGCATCCGTTTTTTGTCCTCTTCGAATTTGCTTTGCAACATCATGATTTCTGGGATAGAAAGTTAACATTAGCATGAAGAAAACAAATCTTCAGCTGTTTGTAAAAATATGTAGTATTAAGTTTCAGACAAAAAGGGAAAAGGGGAGGAAGAAAAAGGACAACAATGGAAAGAGGGAATCACAAGGATGACAAGCATAGAACAGAATGAGAAAAACCTACGATTTTGTTCTAAGTTTAGGCTTAGTAATTTTGTTCTATACTTAACTACTAACTACCATGCTTTACCTCAAATGAAACAAATTTTCTAGAACCTTGTAGATTGTAAGGAAAAAAGATCGCATTCAAGGACCTAGTTTGGCTCAACAATGTTCAAATTTGACTTGCCAATACCATTCACCAGATAATCACATATGGTAATTGCTGCAGGATAAAAAGAAAATAGTTGAACATTTGGTAGAGACGGATCATACCATTTCTCTGGGCCTCTTTTTTCTGAAAACGGTAGAAATTTTGCGATACTTCTTTATTCTTTTTCTTGGCAGCTTTTTGCTCCACAGCAGCTTGCGCAACAGAACCCACAACAATTCCACTTTCAGAGTCAGTAGTTTTCTTCCTACCTTTATGGTGTACAACAACTGTCCATCCCCCTTCTGCAGCACGAGCTTCTCTTTCTTTTCTTTCCTGCATGCAAACATGGTAAAAACAAAGGGAAACTAGAATAAGGACCGAACATAGGTCAGGCACTTTGGGCATTCATATCATTAACAATAAATAAGGAGTGTTGAATATTTTAAGAACCTCACTGAAAACATAAATACAACTTGACTTCATTTTGTACAGAAGGAACCGTATTCTAAACTTTCGTTTCCATTAATAATAACTTGTTTGGAATTACTTTCTCGTGTTTTATAAAGGTTTGAATTGGAATTGTCATGGTCTATAACACTGTCACTGATCAGACATGATTAGCGAGGTCACTGATCATGCATGATTAGTGAGGTCATCAATAGTGGTCACTCGTATGGCCGGTGCTTGAAGCATGTCTCACAAAAATGGCCAGTAGGCCTGTTTCATTATTGGTATTCTTTTAAGAGGATCTTATCCCCTTTTTTCTTTCACTAAGGATACATACAACATCAAAAGTTTCACTCCACAGCCTCAAACAAAGCCTCCGCTTAAACACAAGAAGCAGAAAATATAAAGAAGATTCAAATGGTTAGAAGCGGAGCACAAACGGATCAAGCCATGCAAAATGGAAATTTCATTTACATCAGATTTTGTTCCCAGTTGAAAATGACCACAACACCATCATTCTCAAGCTAGATAATCCAAATGATACTAGAATATGATGACCTCCATATTTTAATGCTAGCATAAGAAACCCTCCTCCAGCAGCCACAAATATATTTTATAGATCAAGACATCACAGGCAAACTCAAGCATGGGAGAATAACAATTGGGGATCACAATTCAAAGTCCTCCTTCACAATTAAGATGAATTTTTATCCCTATATTTGAAAGCTACAATGAATATAGCAATTGGCACCTAATTTGTTAAGATGTTGATCAATATCAATTCAAAATTCCAAATAACTACTTGAGTTCTAAGTGAACATACAGATAATGATCACAAAATAAAGACAAGAAACTGATACTAAATACGATGCACTTTCTCCAGTGACAAACCTAGAGAGATTGCACACCAAAGCAATGACCCAAACTAATAGCATACAAGTAAAATAAACGAGCCAGACTAAGAAAAAAATGCATGAACTTCAATCACAAGGCGTATAAATCCTCATCATTCAATCTTTTTTATTGAAAGTTTGTTAAAAACAAGTTATTTAGAAAAGATGGAAAATAAAGGATTAAAAGATTCAGAATAATATGCGGTGTGAGAAGGGGTTACCTCTTCTAGTTTTTCTTCATGGGCAGTTATAAAGTCATCAATTTGATCTTCCAATGCCTTCAAGCCGGGCCTACTTTGATGGTATTCCATGATCCATTCTGTAGGTTAAGTGGTCCACAATCAGAAATTATTCAGACATGACAAATTAGTCTACAGCATAAATTTGGGGGGAATAAAAACAAAAATTAGCAGAGATTTCTTGATGGAAGTTAGCTACTAATAAATACAATGAAGATGTGTAGGAATGAGCGTAGTGGAGTAAATAGGTGGGGGGAAACCGGGAAAGTTAAATATGTATGTGCATGTGCCAGAAAACATGTAGATAAACCAATAGCACTGTATGCTGTAAGCAACATGTGAAAATACAAAATATACGGCTGCTTTGCATGCATCATGCAAACAGAAGATGGAATATAAGAATAATATATTTCGAAGAAATCTAGGCTAGTAGATTATTATTATTTGTGTTATTTTAATATGTTGTTTCCTTTGTGTTATTTTAATTTTTAGTAAAAGGAAATCTGAAAATTGGCTTTATTTGGATGAGTGATTAAGCTTTTCTTAATAGGCAGGCAGCTTTAGTTTAAATAAACTAGGCTTTGCTCTTGTAAGGGGACTTTTGCTGAATGAATGAATATTATGGGTTAATTTCTGAAAGCTCTCTCTCTCTCTCTCTCATTCTGCTACCTCTCTCTTGCCCCCGCTATTCTGTCATTATTTTCTTCCCTCTCTCTCTGTTTCAGACCCCCCCCCCAAAAAAATCTCTCCTGCCCTGTCTCTCGTTCCTTTGTCTCCTTTTCTGTTCTGCTTCCCTCACCCGTTTCCTCACTGTTTGTGTTTGAATGAGTGTGTGTTACATCACAGAAGTTTCGGAAGCACTATATTTGCAAATTTTAACGACATGTAAAATGACAATTGTTGTTGAACTATTACTTTTCATTCCTTTTGAGCAATCCTCATCTCCAGAAGAAATAGTATACGTCTCATCTTGGTCAGTCCCTCCATTTGCTGGTGAGGTCAAAACCTCCTTTACAAAATGTGCTTCCTTCTTTCTCTTTTTCTTAGTTTTCTTTGACTTACCTACAAGATCAGGAAAACTTCATGAGGAAGATGAAATCACTAACTTCAGAAGTGTTGTTTCACAAGTCACAACACACAAAAGAAAAACAAACAAACAAACAAACAAAAAAAGAGCTGTTTTTCATTACAAGATTGATTTGTCACTTCAATATCAATCTCCCCGTGCTCCTTAAAGTCTTCAATCAATTGAGCTTCAGAAGAATTCTCTCCTACTCCGCCTGATGAGAAAGGAATAAAACTTGACTAAGATCAACATGAAGTCATAATACTGAAACATTATGAAAAACCAATGTAGGGAAGGGGAACAACTACAAAAGGAGGGAAACATGTATCAGAATATGTCGAAGCGTTGCCATAGTTCTCTACTCACCATTTTGCTCCTTCGAAACAACTTGGCCATTTGGCCTTTGTCTTTTCAAGCAGATTTTTGTCTTTTTTCTTTCTTTTTAGATTTGAAGATTTCTTCTTTTTTTCAACCAGCAGGCTACTATCCTCTGAAACAGCATATGCACACAGAAATAAATCTAATAATTTAGTGATAAATACAATTCCATTCTATTGATGGCCAAAAAAAATGATAGAAACAAAGACCAAATAATATCAAATGAGGTGTATAGAAACATTTTTTCACCTTCAATTTTCATTCTAATAGCTTCACCATTATCAGCAATTTTTCCTCTCTTTCTTTTCTTTTTCTTTTCTTCAGAATGTGTACTAGTCTTGCTTGTGCCTTTCATCATACCAATTAAGTCTGTAAACAAGAAAAGCCAAAAACCACTTTGCATCAAAAAATGCAAACCACAAAATCCAAAAAGTGCTTCAAGTTATATGACTTACACAAAAATTTTCAGAAGCAAATGATAGACTGTTAATGTAACTCAAGACAATACAGAAAAAACCCATTTGCATCATCAAAATCAGACAGTTTTTTTTCTGTCAAGTTTCCAACCTTATCACTTGTTGATTGGGATGCATCTTCCTTTCAAGAAGTTATTAGGGAAAATTTGAAAAGCCCACCCTACCATATTGCAAGAAAGGAAGCATACATAAAATTCATTTTGGGGGTTGTCAGGTTTGCCAATTAATGTGTGAGCTGAGCTTTTTATTCTGAAAAAACAGCTATAGGAATGTGCCCAATCAGAAATGCAGCTGCTGAGGAGTAGATAGCTATCAGAATGAATTGCCCCATTGATGACGTATCACTGACATTAAATAGTATACAATATATACAACTGCTTGCAATACTTCAAAGCACAAACTGAAATAAGCAAGGTACTGAAAACTGGACCGGCTATTAAACCGGCCCAGATTTAGACCAAACATAATAAAATAATATAATTAAATAAAAAAACATTCTTCAAGACTTAAAATCTTATACAATGCCACATTCAAGTCCAACGCCAATCATCAAAACATCATTAAAAACAAAAAATAAAATAAATAAAATATTCATCCTTGCAGAAATCAAGTGCCTTCCAGTTCAGTAAGTACAGAGCAAGAAATCGACTGGCTTCCAGTTCACGACTACGAGCAAGAAATTGAATTACACTTGCAGAATCTACATAAAGGAATCAAGCAAGGAATCTTGGCTTTGACCAGTTACAAAGGAAATATTAACATTATGATTATCAGATTATCACATAGAGCAACACGCCTGAATCCAACCAGCACGCCAACATCTGAATAGACTCAATAAAGTTCTTAATCGAGTAGGGAAGGAGAGAGAGACACCTAAATCGAGTGGGAAGGGAGGGAGAGCAGCTGCCTGACGGATGATGGACGACCCTCGACGCTCACTCTCAGTCTCAGGGATGGCGGACGGACGACAGCAAGGACGAGACCCTCGAAGCTCAACGACAACGCGACAGAGAGGTCCACAAGAGCAGCAGTCTCAGTCGAAGCTCGAAGACGGAGAACGAGAACAGACTCAGCAGAGCGGTGCGACTAGCGAGTCTGAATTAGAGGCTTAGAGCTCGAGAGGCTGAGTGAGATCAGAGCGGTGCGAGAGCAAGACTGAGAGCAATCGAGAAAGACAGAAAGATTTTGCCATTGATTTAGGGCTTCAGGCTTCTGCAATTTTTTTTTTTTTATATCCTGACATCAAAATTTGAAAAAAGTAACAACCCTCCCAACCCAACCTGTATGGTTGGACGAGTTGATCTAGGTTAATTTCAGGTCAACTATAGCTGCTTCACAATTAAAAACCGGATCAGATAAATGGTCAAGTCATCGGTTCAATTCAGTTTTAAATTCAATGGAAATAAGTTGTAATGAGAGATGGACATGAATCGAAAATTTTGACTCAAAAATACATACATACATATATATATATATGAATCAAGAATGAAAGAAATAAAAAAATAATCTCCTACGCATGAATTAAGAATCAAAATGAAATAAAAAATTGCCTACATATAAATATAGAACCACATACAGGTGGCTCTTCCCCACCCGCTAGATTGAAAGGACGAGAGCAGAGAGCGTAAATCTAAAAAAAGAATCAAGCAGACTCATTATATTTTCCTTAAAGCTGATATTCAGATCACACGTCTCTCCCTCATGGAGAGCCTTATGAGATACTTCACATCATTTTAGAGTCTGTTTGAAAACATCTGAAAAATATCTATTTAGCCGCAAAATCATGATTTTAATAATTTTTATAAAATTTCCAAACACCTCACGTTTTTAAATTTTATTTAACTTTTCAAACTTCATTTCAGTGAAGTAAATTTTTATTTCATTTTAAAAATTAATATCATAATCAATTCTTGAAATTTTATCTTAACACCATCACATTTTAATAATTAATTTTTTCTTAATCAATTTTTTCAATTAAAATCCAAACACACCCTTTATATATTCAACTAATAGGTTACGAAGGTCTAATTAGTATGTAGAGGAAGGCATTCAATCCAAAAGTTCTATTTGATCAAATTCAACGGACAAATTCTAAGTGGTTTGGAGAATAAGTGTAGGAATTGAATTTAAACTACCTCCCGTGTCCCAAATAAAATAAGTAGACCCATGTTAAGGTTTTAACACGCTCCCAACCCTTTTAATCTAAACTACTTTCCAAACAAAACGCATATTCCCTTGGCCCATCTATGAATGCATAGGGCAAGGTTACCCTACTATTAGCTAACCTAGTTTCATGACGGTGGCTCTACAAGTTCTGCAGCCCCAAATGATTTAACCAAGAGCTTGATAGATATTTGATTTGAGAAGGACGAAAAGAAAAGTATCAAAATAAAGAAAGCCACTTTAAGGTAAGGTTTAATGTAGCAAGTCGGATAGATGCCACCCACATGGTCGACGGCAGGGGAGCTATAAGTTAAAGCTCACAACTAGTTCGTTGAGCAGCAGAACAAAGAAGGATGAAACGAAGAGGGAAAGTCATGGCCTCGACTCTCGTCGATATAGGGTTCTTCTGGTTTGAGAAGACATCTAATCCAATGACAAGGTTAGATAAAGTGACAGAGATAATTAAGGGTTGTTTGAAGGTGTTTTTATTTTATTATTATGAGAATTAGTGTTTTATAAAATATATTTAAAAAAATAATAAAAATAAGTATTTTTTTATTCTTTTTTATTCTTCAAAACACCTCAAAGTTGTTTCTATTTTCTTATTCTCTATAATAATATTTTATTTTTTGTTCTTTAAAACATTTTTTAAAAATACGTTATTAAATAAATTTTTTTATTCTCTTATTCTGAAAAACAGAAAACTATTTTCAGAATAGATTTTCAAGCAGACCCTATATTTTTCTCCAAAAAAAATGGAAGAATTTTTTAAAAAACTGAAATGTTTAAATTATAAAATATTTTTAATATTTGAAGGTATAATTATTATATTCTTTCTACTTTTTTTAAGATATTCTAATAAATAAATAAATTTATATTTATTTTAAAATAAAATATTGTATTAAATAGAGATAAAAATAAAAATGGTACTAGTTTAACTACAAATAACTATTTTATTAGGATAAGATTTGGTTAAAAATGTCTTTTATTTTTTTAAAAAAAATAAATTATAATAAATAAAATACTCTAAATCCTATTTTAGGTAAATAACTAGACCAAATCCGCTAAATTTTAATTAGGGAGGCAAAATTAGACGCATTCCATGACAGATAACAATTGTACAACAGGGAATGAGTATAATTTTTTACACAACGGCATAGCTTGATCATCGTTACATTTTTAATTTTAATTTTTTAAATATATTTCCACCAATTACTAAAATGTGGGTGATTGTTTTTGCATGATACTTTAGATGAATTAGATCATTGAAAGATGTGTAGGAATATGACCCTTCTAAATTGTATCGCATAAATATTAAAAGAAAAATATATCACAATAAAAATGCATCATTTTAAATGAAAAAAAAAAACTCTAGTTACAAGAGTAATAATTAGTTCGTACAAAACATATAAAACTTTTACACCTTAACAATGGTTTTACAAAAATCATAGTAACAAGATTGTCTCAAAATGCATGGCGAGCAAGCCAATCAGCAAATCTACTCATTCATGAAAATTATATGGTTGAGAGTAACAATCTAGTGCCTCATAATCAGGTCTATGATTTTATTGATAATATTCTAAAAATGATCTTGAGTAAAGTTGTGCTAAATGTGCATGAGAGTTTCAATTAAGGCAAGTATACATTGCGGGTAACTTGAAATGTGTTTAGGCTTCATAACTGACTCCTGACTAATACAAAGAGAGACCAAAAAAGCATGACCAATAATGTGTTGTGTTCAAAATGCATGAGGGATGATGAGGATGCTCTTCACATCCTTAGAGATTGTCTTATTGTTCGAAAATTTTGGGAGAAACATGTGAAACCATGAGTACGTGAGATGCTTTTTTTACTACAGAGAGGTGACTGGTGTAAGCTTAATCTTACAAAGAACATGGGGTGGATAAGGGAGAGTTGGGACTCTTAGTTCACTATTGTGTGCTAGCTTATCTAGCAAAGATGGAAAAGCGTATTTTCCAAAATAGAAGGGTCTCTATGAGGCTATTAATGTGCATGCATTAGCTATCCTTAAGTGCGTGCGGAAAACAGGATTGAGAATTTAGCAAAATTGGTCTCATAAGCAAAATACATCTTAGCAGGTGTGCCAAAATAGTTTTGAGATTTTGAGTGTTTGTAAATGGAGCTTGTTTAGAGATGACAGATGTCACACGGCTGTAGGGATATCTCAAAGGATCAAAATAGGATGATAATGGAATCTTTTGCATATCACTCCAAGATGGGGATGCTCTCACTACAGAATTGTGGGCATGTTCTACGGGATTGAAGTATGCTTGGGATAGAGGTTAAAAAAATATCATTCTCCATAATGATCCTATCAAGGCTATTTTTTTTGATCAAGGGTGGAGATGTTGAGTTCACGAGTACATAAGCGTTATCTTAGAGA